TATATATTTCATCATTACATGAATAAATGAAAACGGGACAAATACATATGTGACTTAGTCATCTGTCCTCACAGAAGGAAGACTTAGGTATAAGTTGTAAAGTAGGAGGCAGTTTGCAGAGAGAATGGGAGACTTCTCCATGAATAAGGAGGCCCCAAAGACAACCAAACATAATGATTATCACATTCTGTCCCCACAGAAGGAAGACTTAGGTATAAGTAGTAAAGTAGGAGCCAGTTTGCAGAGAGAACGGGAGACTTCTCCACGAATTGCTTCGGCCCTTGCTGTGTTTGTAATTTGTTTTGTTTAAATGATAATAAAAAACTTTAAAACTAAACTTCTCCACGAATAAGGAGGCCCCAAAGACAACCAAACATAATGATTATCACGTGAAATACTGCCAATTTCCAATTATGACTGCTGCGTCTCTCATTTCATCAAATTGATCAAAAGGGAGTTGCTGAAACATGTTAATAGATATGAAAATGTCATGAAACCCAAGTGACCGAAAAACCATCTAAGTGATGTTCAATTAGGAAGCATTTGATCTTATGGTAATCATTTCTGGTAATAGCTGAAGCAACTTCATTATGTAGCTTACTGTATTCCCCACGCAGTTTAATAATAATGTGTTATTTCTGTATCTTACTGCTATGGTATTTCAGACTATTGTTCAGATTATTTAGTATCTACTATCTACATATTCTGAGTACCAGTCACATTTGATCAACGGCAGGCGTATGGTGGCCGTAGCTTTATAAAATCGATATAGAAAATATACATCGTACTGCTTATCCCTATCTTATGCTGCATATTTCTCACGATTTTGGGAAGCTACTGCTGCGGCTGCCATACAATTGCCATGGATCAAATGTGACTGAGGCTATATAATCCTTCCCTCTGCCATTTCAAGAATTATGATGTGACGATAAAAAACATTAAATCATTTTGTGACTGAGCTAAATTGTAAAATAGGATCAAAAACAACACTACTTTTGACGAAAGGCAAAAAGCATGAGAATGCAGTATATATACAGTGAATATAGTGTATAGAAATAAAAAAACTGAATCCACATTATACTGAATATAAGTTGATGGTTAAGGCATAACAGAGAATGATGAATGATTTTGCCCCTATTCATCAACAAGGTTTTTTGAAACTGTCAAATCAAATCAATAAAAACTTCTGTAATATTCAGAAAACTGATGGCAAGTAATTTCCATAACAATGTGAATATGACTAGAGTGGTATGGAAAGTGACTTCTATTCTATTGCACAGAATCAATTTTTAGTGCCAAGGCTATCATAATAAATCACAATAAAGAACCCACAGCCCCTGTGCTCACACAGTAAACTGTTACTGCTTTGACTCTGCAGGAAATTTTACTTTTTATCATATCCAAATTCCTAGTCCAAAGCTATTGGTTACAGCCATATTTTGGTATAATCCATCTTGTTGGTACATTTTATACTCAAAGCGCCAGAAACATTTCCATAGAGAAGTTCTGTGTTAAACTATGTGCACCGATACACAGAAATACAAGAACTGTCCTTTGCATTTGTTCGACTTCGCTTCTTAAAAGAGAGCTTCGATTGCACTCTTTCAGTTTAAAATAAATCTCTAATCTCACCGTGCCAATCAGAATTCGTCGTCGTAATACGGATGACTTTCTATATGGCCATTTCCTCTGACATCACAGCATAGTTAATGAGCACGTATTTAGCACGTGTTCCTTCCACTTTGCTGACTGGTTGAGAAAGGGTCAGCGTGGTAGATTTGAAAAGATTTATTACAAGGACTGTTACAGGCACCAATCATTGGGGTGGGGCTGCTAATCTGTAATATAGCCTATACTAGGCAGAGGGTAGTTTATAACTAGGCTCTGCGCGCAGGGTATACAAGCACATACCACAGCTTTTTATATGAGTTGTGGACCACACAGTCTCACACCCTGAATAACATAATGCACAAACAATTTGTCTGAACTGGGAATCAAAGCTGGGCCCAAGCAATAGCAGTAACCTTGACTCTGCCAATGAGCCACTGCAGCTGTTATTCATAAGGATATATAGAGAAAAAGCCTATGATTTATTCAGTGATATGACTTTAATCCAGGAATGGATGCGATATATATCTGTGCAATCAATATCTATGACAGGGGTTTCAATGGCAGCAGGCAACAGGCGATTTTCACCGGTTGTTTTCACAAAATCGCCTGAATCATGTTTTTATTATTTCCATTAATTTTGCCCGTTGTTTTCATTTATTTAGCCTGTTGTGAGAAATTCTAGTGAAACCCCTGTATGAGGAGATAAAAATCATATCCTGAGTAAATAACAGGATTTCCTATTTATTCCATGGTTGGAGTCATCTGTTTTTATTATGATACAGTATCCTAAAAAGGCACAATAACTATGGAGAAATATATGTTATTTTTGTTCATAGCAAATGATAAGCCCTGTGTGGTAGTTCTCAACAGCTACCTGAGTTCTCCTTTCCTCAGTAAAATATAATTTCAATGAATTATATCGTCAAATAGAGTGTAGTGTTTTTTTCTACCTAGTAAAATGCAAGTATACATGTACAAAATGCTTTGTGATAAATTTTTGATTAGAGTTGTAACAGCTCATAATTTTTTGCATTATGGAAAACATCTCCAAACATAAAAGATGTAAAAATGAATAAAATCAATAAAACAACTGATTCTGAATAAAGTAGCAGTTGGCTTGGGAGGAAACGATGAATAAAAATCCCAAGTTCAAGTTCAACTTTGAAACATCCAGCTATTATGAAAGATAACTTTAAGTGTCTCAAAATATGTGTCTAAAAAAACTTAATGATTTGCTGAATGCAATCTGTTGAATGTAAATATTTTACGTAAAAAGTTACTGAGAAGACAGTTTTTCAGATTTAAGCTCTATAACAGAAATTCCAGCTCAATAAGTCCTGAAGACAGGATTCTTGGATTGCATAGCAAATAACATAATAACCATGGAAGTGAAACCTAAAGGCTCTAAAGCCATTTAGACATTGATTGTAGCATGGAATAATCCCCAAGTGGATAAAAACAATTTATTTCATTTGGGACTTGATTTGGCACTTAATATCAACGTATTGGATTAAGCTGAGAATATTTATTGGTAACTCATTGACTTTTACCATAACTAAACCACTTGTCTTTGGACAATGTGAATGGGATTCTGTTGTTTTCTATTCTCTAAAAGCCCAACTCAGTAAATGATAAACTGTTAGTGATAGGTTCATGTAGATGTATATATGCCTTGGATCACCACTGCAATAGTTCATAGTTTTAGCCCTTGTAAACCCCCCCCCCCCAGCCCTACCACTAACATTGATCTTATCTCACAGCTGAGTTTGACTGTCATCTAACAGCTATCTCGTTTCTCGGAAATGGACCTACCTCTTTGGCAATGGAATATATACGTAGAGTGAATGCCAATATCTTAAATTGCCAACCATGTTATGGACCCCATCAACTAAGTAGAGATGGGAGGGGGGGTTGGAAAAGTGATGCCACAATCCCTTTATAGTTGTCAGCAGGGAGCAAACAGGTTTTCAACAGGATGGGATGTAATTTCTGAACAGGGTAGTGCATTGCCTGGCTTACTAGGGAGATCACTGAATTGTTATGAAAGTTAAAATAACAAATAATATCTCATGATCATTTAACAACTATGTTATTGTTATTACATATACATACATCAGTGATATATCAAGTTTATCATAACAAAAACATTCCTTTATTTTGTAATTCACCTGTTATCTCCATATGTTACCATAATAAATACATAGAATAACATTGCAATTTTAATTAGCACCTCAATATTCAACATCAGCATGTCTTCACACAAAATGAACATATGAATAAGGAACATTCAGTACATATTAATACTATACAGTGAAACCTGTAGTGGAACACCTCTATAAGTGGAACACATCTACTAGTGGAACATTTTTCAGAGTCCCAAGACCAACCGACTTAATGCTAATTGAACCTCTATAAGTGGAACACCTCTTAAGTAGAGTACCAAATGTGTTCTACTTGACTACTGTGTGTAATTCAAAGGAAAAACCATACCCCTGCTCTATTCTCCATCCAATTACTTGTACATTAAAAATCTCCAATAAACTGAATATAAGTAAATAGAATATCATTTTAGAGAAAGCAGCAGCAATAATTACATCGCTTATGAAAAAAGACATCTTTCTTATTATAATACAAATGTACCAAATGCACTTTTTATATGCAGTTTTAGCACTGGAAGAGATCGACCAGCCATATACAACAACAGTTAAATTGCTACAAAATAAATGATGATGTCTCTTTGTAAACAAATTTCAATAACTCAATGATATTGATCCTGCATCTCATATTTGGATAACACATAAAATACTTCAACTCTTCTTATCTTATGAGACTTAGTCTGGGATTTTTAAAGATTTTCTAGCAGATATACTTTGCATTTATTAGCAATTTTGGGAAAATGGTGTTTGTATTTTGATCTTTAAAGAACCACTGAAGCATAAAAGTCAAAGTGAGACCATAATTTAAAAACATCAATTAACTGTCTTGAAAGGCAATTTCCATGATTGATAAAGTCAAGATCTTGTCAATGAATTGATCCTCTTGTATCAGTAAATAAACATTCCTTTCACACTTCTGTTGTAGAATTATTGTCTTATGCCTGTAGGTTTCGATAACATAAATGCAATGCAAATAACAACTTTAATTAATAATGAATGAGAATACACAATATGATAAGAAATGATATATTGGTAGCATGTACATGTATAAGGAAGATCATTAACAGATTATATTGAATAACAAGATGACAGCATTTGGTGCCCCCCCCCCCCACTCAGCATCCATTTTCCATCCTGAAATTATGTTATGTAAGTTCAAAGGCTTGTAATTGTCATTTTGCTAATTTTAAGGGAAAATAATTAGTTACTTCACTAAACTAATCAATGCCTTACTTGTCTGACGATCTCCGTAGCTTATAGCTTCAGCGAGGGGTCCCCAGGTTTGTGCATTTTTCACCTTCACTGGTGCATTGTGGGCCAGTAATAGATGTACGCATTCTGAAATCATATAAAACATTTATAATCATTTTTGTTCAGATCTGTTGCCCATCTGTTTGCAACTTCAGTTGATCTTACCATGGCAGATACAATTTCATAGTTTGCCATTAAACACCACAAATCCATGCTTAAATGTTTAATTGAAGCAGACTTTGATTGGTTCTACCAGTTCAGAGACCGGGTTCAGAGATTTATTGGATATACAAAGAGCACAAGCCAAGTCCATTTAAAGGAATATTCCTTGCCAAACCATCTCTCTCCTCATATGGTAGCTACAACCATATATGCTTGCCATGTTTAGCAAAACACGCCAAAATGTTTTGATATGGTCAAATTTGATCACTTAGAAATGTGATGCTCAATTCCAGTAAGCTGCCATCTTTTAAAATTTCACACAGGAAGTGATGTCATCGACTCTCAACTTTGCATATAGCATTAGGTGAGGAGCTATTAAGAATTACAAAACCAGCTAAATATTCCTTTTCAACTTTGTATCTTATTTAATCCTTCTGAAAATCTCTTCTTTTATTCTAAGTTGACAAGCCCTGAAAATATTTTTGCACAGAAAGTAATGATCACTTGTCTAGAAGGGATTTTGTGCTACTTTCCTATACTGTTATGGGCAAGGTTATAGAAGTTGAGAGTTGATGACATCACTTCCTGCAAGAAACCTTAAAAGATGGCAGCTCACTGGAAATAAGCACTAGATTTTTAAATGAACAATATTGACCATATTAAAACATATTCCCATGTTTTGCTAAATATGGAAACTATATATATGATTATAGCTACCATATCAAGAGAGAAAGGGTCTGGCAAGGAATATTCCTTTAATTCAAAAGGGTAGCTGACAGGTAAAATATGAATGAGTATTATTTCAAAGATTTCAATACAAATCATTTGTTATTAATTTTAATTAACCCATTAACTTTCCCGAAATAGAGAAATTTCTTAATATTGACAAAGTTTTGTGAAGTATTGAATTAAAAACCTATTATCCATTACCTTTGTGTCCAAGCATGATGGCCAAGTGTAAAGGAGTGTTACCTGCAAATAAAAAGGTAATATGGTAAAAAAGAGAAGATAACAACAAAAACAAAGAGCAAATATTCAAACCTCATGTTCAAAAAAGTAAAGTTTCGGAAAATTTAAGTTATGTTGATGTGGAAAAGCCAGTGTCCCTCGGTCCTATAGCTCAGTGGTAGAGTAATCGCCCGGAAAGCGAGGGGTCTTGGGTATAATCCCCAATGGGATAAACTAACTTTTTCATATCAGCCCTTAGCACAGGATTTCTTAGCACAGGAGTTCATTTTTGTTTTCATCAAGGAGGATGGCAGCCAGAGTGCAACATCGATATTCTCCAACAAAGCTAGTGTCGGCCCTGGAGTTTTGGTCTTATTACCAAACAAAAGAATTCAAATCATACATAAAGTGATCAAGATCATTAGTGGCGTAATTAATGGCCATTAGTTTAATATGTTAAATGCTGATTGTGAATTTATTGCCAGGTAAATATCCACAATAATGATGCCAGCTTTGGCAATACTGTACCACTTGGAGGATAAAGAATGTCGAGTTGGAACTCTGGCTTCCAATCCTCCTTGTGTTTTCATTAATCATTAACTGAAAAATTTATGTTAACATTTATTTCTACTATCCATAACCAAAACCCCTGTATGCACCTTCTTTTCACAGATATTCACAAACAAATCACTTAAGTTTTCTCCCGAATGAAAATCAGGTAAAAAATGATGACAGTGAAAATTGCCTATAGAACTCCTGACAATTTCCAAGTAAAAATGACACTGGATTCTAGCCCTGTTTGCATCTGGCATTCTATCCAACATTCTGTTTGATATTAACCACATACATGTCAAGAAAAACTGGCCAATTCATGAGATTATTCATGCTTTCTATTTTGCTTTAGTTGTTAAAGGCATGGGGACTCAAGATAAAGCCCATGGTTGAGAAGTGCCTGCAGTAGTCACCAAAATTAGACCATCAACATGTTTTAATAAACCGTCATCTGCAACAACTGCAACCAACAATGGTTATGCCAGAAATATAGCACTGATATTGTTATACTGTAAATGCAGTTCTGTGATTTCCATATATTTTAACAAAATAGAAGTCACATATACAGTAAAATGTTGAACAAAAGGACGATTTCTTAGCGTAGAAAAGGTAGGAAGTATTTTATATCTTCTGAGGTCTTTGTTGAATTTTTTAATAAACAAGGCCAGCTAGGCTAAATTGGTTAAACTAATAAATACATGTACACACTATGCTGATCTAGGGAAAGCCACATGCCCGTAGCCAAGATTTGCCAAAGGGGGGTACATTTTTCAAAAATTTCCAGGGGGGGTTCACATTTGACAATTTTTGCCCAAATATGGCTAAAATCACTTGAAAAGTGCTCAAAATGGTGAAAAACTGCATGATTGTGAAAGAATTTTTGGCCAGGGGGATTCGCCCGAACCCTGCAAACCCCCCCTGGCTACTGGACTGTATCCTTCGTCTGAATAAATATTCAGACTGTAAGTCACCTATTGTAAAATGTGGTGTTGTATAAATGTTACAAATAAGTTTGTTTAATGATAAAATGATTACCTTATAAAGAACTTACAATATTATTTTTTCGTTTATTGTCCTCTTACTGAAGATATTCATAAAATGTACAGACGCTTCTTGTAGCGAAGCCATTGATTAGGTCAAGCCATTTTGGCAATGACAATTCTCACGATAAACGAGATTTAGCCAGTGACGTCAGTCTATTTGTAAACAAATAACACGTGCGAGCGGACGGAGCAACATTACGGAAGTGTATTGATAAATTCCATTTGTGCGGGAATTTATTAGATCTAGTCATTTATTATCATTATCCCGATTAATTTTCTTCATTTATAGTAAATAGAGCGGAAATATTCATGAAGAAGGCCGAGGTAATCAAGTGGTCATGTGTTGTCAAAGTTCAAAAAATTTGCATATCTCGTTTGGATCTCGTGAACTCAAACGTCCTTGACATTGATTTCGCGACCTACTTATGAACACATCCTGAAGTTTTGGTGAGTCTGAACATTTCATTATTTTATATCAACTTGTACCCGCCTTATACAAATATTTTTGCTTCTAGTTTAAGATGAACATCTCTTCAACATATTCACCAATTTTCAAGGTGAACATTCTTGTAATAAACGAGAAATTAATGTGCAAAAAATATCACCGCGATTTCCACAGGAAATATATCAATCATAACAGACCGAATATTATATTCGGTCTGTTGGATACATACTACCCTGGCTACGGGCCTTAGCCATGTTTTTTTTCTCGCATGGATCAAGATCTCCGAGATTTTAATTTTTCCAGAAATCAAAATGGCGGAAAATGTAAATTCTTCTTCTAATAAGTAAGTGTCGAAGTTACCCCGTCTCTTATGTCGACTTTATCCCACATGTCGATGTTACACCCCTTTGCCCTTCTTCGAAGTTCGATGCATCTCCCCTATAGCAGATATGGAAGGACTGGAAGGTGGATATCACTTTCATAACCAGGTATACATAATGAGCGCATAGGAGAACTTCCCACTATCTGTGCTTTCAAGAGAATCAGAATGACTCAATGACTGAGAAAGCAAAGCCTGAAACGAATGAGTTTTTTAGTTTTTAGAGTCACTCCATTACTGAAGAATTTGAGAAAAGAGAGAGTACACAAAATACAATTACCGTGTTTATCTTTTTGTGCAACATCATGTGTCCTTAGCAACTGTGATACTGCCTTCAAATCACCCCGAAATATACTTTCGTGGAGTGGAAATTCTTCTGCCATATCAAAAATATTATTTCTATGTGGTGTGTCATGAAAAGTGATCGACCTCAAAAATGTGACCTTAAAGCTTAAATTTCTACTCGGTCTATCAGTTACAAACTCCTTTTAGACATAGAATCTCCACATTTCGGACATATACTCATAGTATTCTACTTTCAAAATTAATCAGCAGCTTCATGCATACTCATTATTCTATCATATCTCACTGAAAGAAATGACATGATCTGCTCAAAATACACTTTGCTTTTAGGCCTCCTTTACAAATTGTTGACTTTCATAAAAGTTGATTGTGCCACGCTCCGTAAAATGGAAGATTTCAAGCCCTTTCCTCACTTTGCCACTGACGCTTTGCACGCTGGACAGGAACCTGAACAATGGAACTCCAAAGCTGTAAACCCTCCTATTTCAATGGCCACTACATTCAAGCAATCAGGACCTGGGGAACATGCTGTAAGTTCTGGTTGTTTGCATTTGAAAATGTGACAGTCGTTCAATTCATTTTCAATTAGTTTTGCTGTCAACCTGAATGACAGTGAAAGACACCCTTGACAGTTTCATGAAAATGGAAAAGTAAAGTTAATCGTTTAGTTCAAATTTGATTTCCTTATTCAAACTCGCAACTGGGGAGCATTGAAGAATGGAGATATCTGTTGCAAGACTAACGCCTGGCGTAACCGTCACCATGTTATTCAGTGTTTTTAGTAGCGCAAGGATCCTGCCATGACCGTGGTGATGTTATCGTGAAAGCCTGGTATAACCTAGTTCAACAAGTTAAACCCAATACCACGGCTTTCATTTATTAATCTGAATGTTCTTGTTGCCGTGATTGGGTTTAACTTCCGTGGTATGCTTTCATTTGTTGCAAATTCTCACTATCAGTTATTAATTAAACGCGCATGAAATTACTTATTAATTGACAACAATATAAAAACACATAACATCAAGCGATTCAACACAATATTATTGTATTAAATGGTCATTTATACAAGTAAAATGAGGTTAAACTTACCAATCTCTAAAATGACATTTCCGCATGTCCGGCATTGTGTCTGTTCGTCCCGGGATAAAATTTAAACTATTGAAACGGAATTGTTGTCAAATAGATTGATAATTATCACGCGATTACTCGGGATAAAATAACCATTTTTGAGGATAGCAGGTATCTTTGATTGATTTATATAGCGCTTGTATACACACAAAATCGTTATTAATTGCAAACCTACTGTTCGTTGATGCAGTGTCGCAATGACGGTTAATTCCTGATACGATTTGCAATTTCGATGTTACCGGAGCTGACCGATATTTTCGTAAAATTCCAAACCTGTCTCCAATATTTTCGTAATTATGCATCAATATGGTCTAAGGGGGGTACGGGATGGTGTGTATGTATTTATAAGGTATGTATGCATGCTTGAATCACATTCTTTATGTAATATTACCATGTTTTCGGAGTTTAATTAGTTCCGCATGTCGAAACCTGCTGAACGATTAAATGATCGCAACAAGGGCAAAATCATCATGGAAGTTAGACCTAGCCGGGGCCATAAGACATGTCAGATAAGAAACGAGGCCCAGGCTAGGTCTAATGTTGTTGGACTAGGTATAACCGCGACAATGCTGTATTATATTGCAATGCCTGCCATGACTGTGACAATGTAATAGAGTTCCGCAAGGCTTGGCATGACCGTGACAATGTAATATAGTACTGCAAGGCCTGGCATGACCGTGACAATGTGTATTTGAAAACCTGGCATGACCGTGACAAGTCGTCCTATCATCGCACGGGTACTCAGGGAAACTACTGACGATTTCAAATATGATAACTTCAACTTACTTTGAGAATATGAGACGAAAGATCAAGCTTTCCTCTAAAATCTAAGTAGTGTTTGACATTTCTCAATCTCCGAACGCTAACACTTTAAGACCCCTTAGACTCGCATGTGCGGTGGTCCTAATTATCGCACAGTCGTCCTAATTATCGCACAGTTATGTTTCAGATGTCATTTCACGATACTGTATACATTTCTCTGTTTATAACAGATACATACATATGCTGTAATCATTTTTCTATCAGTTTTAGTGTAAAATATCAGCAAAATATACATTATACACGTACTTTTCTGTCTTTATTTGGGGGGGGGGTCAAAATTTGTCAGACGAATTTCACTTCTTGCGCAAAAGCATTTATGACAATGGCGGAAGTAAACAATTCTTAAAAAATGAAGAGATATTTCTAAATATATGAATAAATCATGAAGATTGAGTTAATGGTGTTGAACTGTTTTTCGTAACACTGGTTTAAAAGATGGTGGGTGCATATTTTAGTTATTTAGGACAATCGTGCGATAATTAGGACCGTGCGATAATTAGGACCACTTCCCCTACATCATGGACTTTCAGGAGACTTCTCTTGAAAGGTCATGCCTACAGCGACAACATGACCTTCCATGACCTCTATATTGTGTTTACTACCACTTTTCCCTCAGTCCGTTGTTTCGGACAAGATCTACAGAAAATCTCGGGACAACATGTAGATCTATGTCAAGGATGTAGTTACTAGTTACACACTTGATTAAAAACTGGTTTAAAATATATCAGAAGTTGCTATACATGTATGTTAATGTAGTGCATTTCTTTATTATGTTTTTATTACTTGGTAATGTGTGGAGGGTTAATAGCAAAATGGGCTGATGCAATATACTGTACGGTATACAAATACTATCTATGGTTACCTGTCTATATTATGAATGTTAATTTTACATCTGACTTTGACATAGTTGAATATATCTAATAAATAAAAATATCAGATAAATATCACACCCGGTGATCGTGAAAATGGGACGGAGGGGGGGAGCAGGCAATTTCCGCTAGAAAATTCAACAAATCTGGTAAAATTATTTTTTCAAGACAGAGTTTACGATTGAATTGCAAATTGAATAAGCACACGGTATGATAAAATATGTTAGGTATTCTAGGATTATTTTTCAACCGATACTCTTTTAAGATATAAGATCTATTAAAAAAGGCGCAACGCAACCAACGTGCAAAAGTCAAAGTTTTTGCTATAAATCAAGCAACAATGGACTACACGACCTGTAATAAATACTTGTAAGTGATGTTATCATAACTAAATTAATGTCATTGCTGAATTTATAAAATAAGTTCACATACGTAAAATAAAAAATAATCGAAAATAATTAAAATGGGACGGAGGGGGGGAGGGGACGGAGGGGGGGAGTAAGAATTCTATAAAGTGAAACAACTTCACACGAATTCTTGTATTTGAAAAATGAACTTATTAACTTAGTAAGAAACTGGATGATATACCCCTGGAGACTGAAAAATGGGGACATTTGGAGTAAAAGGACTTAAAGTCGCGAAACATCTCTAATCATGTCTTATATACATATTGCTCCCCCCCTCCGTCCCCTCCCCCCCTCCGTCCCAAATTCATTATTTTCGATTATTTTTTATTTCACATATGGAAACTTATTTTATAAATTCAGCAATGACATTAATTTAGTTATGATAACATCACTTACAAGTATTTATAACAGGTCGTCCAGACCATTGTTGCTTGATTTATAGCAAAAACGTTGATTTGTGCCTGTTGATGGCCTTGCGCCTTTTTTAATAGATCTCATACCTTAGATGCGTATCGTTTCAGAAAAAATCCCAGAAAACCTAACATATTCTACCATACCGTGTGCCTATCCATTTAGCAATTCAATAGTAAACCTTTTCTTGAAAAAATAAATCTTCCAGATTTGTTGAATTTCCTAGCAGAAATTGCCTGCTCCCCCCCTCCGTCCCATATTCACGATCACCGGGTGTGAATATGTAAATATGTCTAAAACAAGTTGGGAGTTTCATTAATCAAATATGAACTTGACTTAAGATTGGTATTCTGGATGCATCATACTGCCTTTAAGTATTGTTCTGTATATACTACATTAGTGTGGTGTAGTTTATTTTTGTTCTAAACATATCATGCCATGACATCTAAAGAGTGAGTAAAAGACATAACATTCTTGACCCAAATAGCAAAGTCAAACTTCATGTCATTGATCACAAAAAACAGGTTGTAAATGACCGCGAGTTGCATGTACAATGAATCGGGGGAGATTTTCATGTATTCCACTTGTGTTTTGCTTTTTCATCCTAAAACAATCAATACACTATATAACATTTTATTGACTAAATGTTTACACCATGTATAATCCCAAAAATATATCCTATTTTTAAAGATAATCTATGGATTAACACACACACATATTTTCATTTTTCAAACGTCAAGGAACTGGGAATCATTGATAACCAACACTTTTGAATAAGAAGCTGTTTTAGATAGGTTTCATATTTGCCTTCAATTTCACGTAATTCCTCAAATCATTTAAACCAAACACATTGCTTAATCCCTAGAATACTCTCTTGGAGGAATTCCCCAAAGAAATCTAATGGTATAGTCCAAGCAGATTTTGAGATGATAGAAAAGTTAATCTTTAGTATGCACCTTATTGGGTTGCGTTAGTTAATAATATGAATAGCCTTTGATTCTTATGTCAATTGCATTTTACTGCAGGGTTTTGAGTATGGGAGGAGTGGCAACCCTACCAGGAACTGCCTGGAGAGATGTATTGCTGCATTGGAAGGAGCTAAATATGGTAAGTAGTATTGGTAGGTCTGAGTTTGAGAGCTTCAGCATTTTCCTGCCATCTCTACAAGGTAAACTGTCAAGACTGTTTCACCCCTTAGTAAAATCAGTACAATTTATTTATTTTTTTCTTATTGGTCAGTCTGATTTGATTTTAATGTCACAACCATAAGTGGTAACATATTGTTATAATCTTAAACTTTTTTGTGGCGGTGGTTGGGGTTCAGAGGTTGTTGTTGGGCGTGTATCTGTAAGAAATGGCAGGTGGTGACATTTTGCATGTTAATGCCTTGTTAGACTTTATATTCAGGATCAGAAATATTTTAAAGAATACTTTATCTCGTTTGAAATCATATTTTAAAATATAAAACCTTCAAATTTGCAGGTCTGACATTCTCATCTGGTTTAGCAGCTACAATGGCTATCACACACCTGTTGAATGCTGGTGAACATATCATTAGTATGAATGATCTCTATGGAGGTAGGTTAATAACTGTCATATAGTTTGATACAAGCTGGTCCAATATAAGATTCGCAAATTGTATTATACCCCCCCCCCCCCCAAGTCATTTTGATCTATCAGCCCGCTCTTAGATATCCAGAGAGCAACCAGTCTTTATTGATAGATCAAGCGTTTTGGACACTACAATGTCCCTACTTTATCAGGAATTTCTGATTAGTATTAAAGTCTTAAAAAGGATTTATCCATTGGTGCATGCCATTCTTCCTTTGTAAGCCAGAAAGTCCTATCTGCACACAGTGCATACTGCATATGCATTTATATGAGGTGTAGTTAAAGATTTGTATCTTTTCCAGGCACCAACAGATACTTCAGAAAGGTTGCTGCCCGCCTCAATATAGAAACCAGCTTTGTAGACTGCACCAAAATCGATGATGTGAAAAAGGCTTTGCGACCAAATACAAAAGTGAGTCGTATTTATCTTGCATTAATTTAGTAGTTGAAAATTAAAATGAAATATATATCTACAGGGTGTCCAAAAAATAGTTATTTAGTTTATTCAATGTGTATGAACAATCTTGTTAATGTGAACATTTGATGATAATCTGCCTATTGAGTCAAAAACTACAGTTTCTTACATAACATGCGAGTAGGCACATTTTGAATAAAGAGATGGACCAAATGGATCAAGGGAAGATATATATTATCCAGAGGATAAAAGCAATATACAATCCCGACAGGGAGATGAGCTTTTTGGTCCATGATAATCATCAATTAATTAATAAATAAAAAAAAATCAATAATTAATTTTCTAATTTCCCACACTTAAGATTATGTAAATGTAAATAAAAAGTTTCTTTGATGAATACAGAATACTGGATATAAATGAGTATTTTATTTATTTTTTGAAAAAAGCTTTAATTTTGTCTGGCACCCAGACACTACGTAATAAAAATTGATAAATTCCCTGGGGAAGGAAGTATACAGGATCATTGGGATGTATACCGGGTATATAGCAAAATAACACAGAATATCATTTTTACCAATGTGATTTATATACCTAATATCATAGTGAGCATTGTATAAGCTGAAATATACCTTTGCATTAAGACTATTTGGATTGTAGGAGTGATTTGCAATAATTTGTTTAAAACATGTGTTGGGGCTCCCAACAGGTTTTTTTGGGTCATGGCTGAAAAAGTTTAATATAATATTTTCATTTTTTCGGTTGATTCTCAGTTTATACTTTGGCACTTTTTTGCAATGAAATTATTTTATGACAGAAAAAGTAATCTACTTGGGGAGTCCTATCAAAAAAGCATTATATAAGCCAAAGGGCATTTTACTGAAGTATGCAGCTTAAATGAACTGGTGTTAGAAATAAAGTTTTGAGTGCATTTGATACAATGATATGCTTTGGCTTTTTGTATAATGACACAAACTCACTTTAGGTGTGTGTCATATTGCCAAATCACAGATTTTCAGCAATATATACGTACATGTATATATATTTAAAGAAATAGTCTTAAACGATATACAGTATGTTCTGAGGTTTTATCCACAATACTATAACATTCCACTGGATATTTATCAGTTTGAAAATGAAGATGCAAAAACTTAATTGGTAGCCTAGCCTTCTATCTTGCATTTTGCGACTTATTACCTCTGTATTTCCCAAAATTGCCAGTTTTAATCATCTTGATCCATAAAGATATTTCATACAACTGAAGGAATACACTGGTTTTATAATATGAGATTTAATCAAATTTTTGGAAAAGAATCAAATGGCTAATGTTTAGGGATGTATAATGGTAATATGTATTTTGTTATCTTTTCAGTATCATTGAAAACATATTTACAATATAAAGTACTTTTACAATATTATTGAAATAAAATCATTCTATTTTCGTCTATTAAATACAGTATGACTGAACAAAAATGTTATCTGCCACTCAAGTTCAATGAAACCAAGGCTAGCTGTTATTTATACAGTACTCTTGTGATAAAATGACTTATTATCATTCATCTACATTTTTACATTGTGTGTTGATCTAAAGTGCCCCCTTGATTAATGTGTGAAATGTCAGGGTTGTATTTTTAACAAACTACACATCTCATTATTGCATATTTTTATCACTGCAATTTTTTGTTTTAGAAATACATGTACTTTACGTATATGTAACTACATGTATTGTAAAATTAAACAAATTTTGTAAAACACATTTTTGTTTTTGTTTTAAATGACACTTCATATAAAAACAGGGTTACCCAAAAAAATTCAACCCTCTAATTTTGGTATAACTCTCAATTATGATGCAACCTTTTTGAATTCTTATGGAATCTAGTGTCCAATGCATGAAACTACATGTTTGTTAAAACTAATGGTGAAACAGATGATGCAATATATATAACACTTACATCAGCCAATGGCTAATAAAGGTTTACTGGAATACTTTTTCTAACTAGACACTTTAGAACAACCATTCTTGCATACTTTCATACAAATAAAACTTTTGCAATTATGTCACCACCAAAAGTGGTGACATATTGTTAATGTCTCTATTTTTGTGATGGCATCTTTAACAAATTCTCACAACTTCCAATAACTTAACAAATACTGTTTACACTGACTTCAATTTTTTTCAAAATCATCAAGTTCTCGGAAATTCAGATCTGACTTTAGATTTGACCTTCAATTACCTTCTTAGTGTCAAAAAAGGTCAAAAAGGTCTTTTTTCAACTTGCTTCAAATCGACCAATTTTTTTTCAAAATCATCTGCAAGTTCTCAGAAGTTCAAATCTGACTTTGTTTTAATATAAGATTTGACATTCTATAACCTTCTCAAGGTAAAAAGGTCATTTTTCAACGTGCCCCAAGTTTGACCAATTTTTCTTTTCAAAATCATCTCAGAAGTTCAAGTCTGACTAAAGATTGAATTCATATTTCCTATTTCAGATGGTCTGGATCGAGACTCCCACCAATCCCACAATGCAACTTGTAGACATTAAAGCTGTCTGTGATATCGTCCATCAACAACCAGATGTGTTTGTTGTGGTTGACAATACATTCATGTCTTCCTACTTCCAAGTAAGTGATTTCTTAAAACAATAAGGCAAAAGAAGCTCCAGTCCCATACTGAGCAATATCAATCCTATAATGTAACTGGATAACATCCTATTTCAGGTAAAACTTAGCGTGTTCTGTGTGTAAATTGGATGTTTACAAAAATAGCAAATTTGCTCCTTCTTATTACATGTACATATACTTGGACAGCTGATCATTTTGTTCATTTTTTCTGTTTCAGAGACCCCTTGAACATGGGGCCGATTGTGTTATGCATTCCCTTACCAAATATATGAATGGTCACAGTGATGTCATTATGGGAGCAGTAGCCACTAGCAACGATGATATTGAAAAAAGGCTCAGGTTTTTACAAAATTGTAAGTATGTATGAAGATATTCAGAAAATAATGAATCACATAAAAATCTTAAGTACAATGTTCATGTTTTATGCAGATTTACAGTACATGTACTGTACACATACATGTACTGTATACATACACATACATGTACTACATAAACATGACAGCATATGTAGTACACATATACCATACATGTACTTCATATACAGTACATGAACTGTGCATGTACAGTCAGCAAACACTAACAGTCAGTATTATAGAATCTGATGAAATACTGTCGTTAAATTATTATTGTAAAATTAAATATTCCAAACACACTTCCATAACGAATAAGTCTACTGCACAAACCCCATACATGTTGCAGCAATTGGCGCAGTTCCCTCTCCATTTGACTGTTTCTTGGTGAACAGAGGCTTGAAGACTCTACATGTCCGTATGAAGGAACATATGAAGAATGGACTCGCAGTAGCTAAGTTTCTAGAAGCTGATCCTAGGGTCACAAAAGTTATACATCCAGGTATGCAATCAATGAGAAGGGAGGGGGGGGTTAGTAGTGTTTGAGACACCCCTCAATGTTTATTGATTTTATGGGAGTTGGCTGCAAGGGATCTCATTCCTTTGAGTTAGTGTTGTCATGGTTTCCATTGACACATCTCAGAACTCTCACTAGGGAATTCTTGACTATGTCAGTTTATGACCATAAAGTTTTGTATTTTGGGTATTTAGACTTGATAAAAATCTTCAATTCAAGCGCAGCAAAGACATGATTTATTTGGATGAAATTGGATACTCTTTAAAATATGTATCCTAACAGAAGACAACTCCTCACTTACAAACACATCATTCATGTATATGGATTGTCAATTTCATATTCATAGGTTTAGAAATTCATCCCCAGTATGAGTTAGGCAAGCGGCAGATGCGTGGCTACAGTGGCATGGTCACATTCTATATCAGAGGGGGTGAAACTGAAGCTAGAGATTTCCTCAAAGCTCTCAAGGTAAGAATATGAAATCTGTGAATACAGTGCTTGGGCTAAGGATTTGAGAAATGCTGGATAAAATAATATGATTTACCATTTACAATTAATAGATGCTCTTATTGTGTTTCAAACAGTTTTGCAATGGTGAGTGAACCAGCCTTTATCTAGAGCATCAATGAAGCTTTTAAATGCAAAGTTCCAGTATTCACTCATCTTAAATACATAAGAAAAGAACTGATTTATATGAAAAGTATTGTTATTTATTTTCAGGTGTTCATTCTAGCTGAGAGCCTTGGCGGGTTTGAGAGTTTAGCTGAACATCCGTAAGTAATATACAAATAGTGTAGTTCCTATTCCTGCAATAAAGTGATAAACAAATGCTGTAGTTCCTATTTCCTGCAATAAAGTAATACAGAAATACTGTAGTTCCTATTCCTGCATCTGCCTGTATTTTCTCACTATGATATTAATATTATTTGACATTGACTCATGTAACATATCTTCATTAGCAAGAGTGTCTTCATGAATCAAACCTGTTCAAGGAAAAGCATTATTACAATCCAATGATTACGATACTATGCAATTCAATACAATATGAGTTCAAATGGAGTGTTTCTACATGTACATATAAATTGGTTCAATATTTTTCAGAGCTATTATGACTCATGCCTCGGTGGAAAAAGATGAGCGTGAGAAATTAGGAATTCACGACAACCTCATCCGTCTCTCTGTTGGCATTGAAGATACTGCTGACCTTATAGAAGATCTGGAAAATGCACTCACTGCTGCGGTAAATATACAGAAATTACAAAATAATTCTTAAAAAATTGAATTTTTGTTTCAAAATCAAAAGCTATGTATTTCAATTTCTTTTCAGTTCTTCAATCAAGTTGACAAAGAATATTTTCATACAATCAATGAGGAGCTAGCAATAGGTTACTATAGGTCTAATCTACACAATACAGTAATAAAATGATTCTATTGAGCCAAAATAGGTAGAGGTCCTTGTCATATACACTGATTTTGGTGTACAAATCCCAAACTAATGTTAAGCTGTCTACTTACAGGTTGGCAAGGAGTAGTCTAATTGCTGAGTTACAGTCAACACTCAACAGTGAACTGATGAACCAATCTACTTCTATCACCACATTCAAACATAATATGCACATAGTGTATTAAATTGACACTTTACTAATGGGAATCGGTATCAACTACTAAACTATCGAAGCAGTGCAGGTGTCTCTGGTTTTGTTAACATTTCTCGATTTTAAGAGGAATTGATTAAATTCAAAGTGATAATAAATATGCACATTGGTCTGTCATGTCTGCTGATGGTGCATATAACTATATTTAGTAGACATTCTACATTTGGCTAGTCTTAAGAACATGTCTCACCTTTTTGACTATTATGTTATATGAGACTGAAAAGTCATTGCAAGAATCTGGGTCCAATTCCTGAATCATTCTTTGCTATATATTCCCAAATGAATAAATCATGATCTCATATTGAGAGAGCGCGCAATAGTATTTCTAAACATAGACTACAGAGTTTGTAAAATTAAGATATCTTGAGTGAATAATATATTTAAACTATTACACGGTTACAACATGCATATGTATGCCTGGCTAAGAATGTTCTGGAAATAGTCCCTGGTGGTACTACTTTAGGCACTTATTATGGAATACTAACTATTGTACAACGTTTTATTACACATCTAGTTGGTCTCATTTCTTCTCTGGCAGCTATGTTTTATTATAACATAAATATCTCTTATATTTTTGAGCACAAACAGGGAATTAGGTTTTGAATTTTAAGGATATAATGAATATATACTATGTATATGGTTTGATATGGATGGAATAAAATTATATTGCACATTGCATATTAGTGTCATTTTTTAAGTTGTGAAATGTATGTACATGTATTAGATCAACATTATTTGACAAGGCATAAATGCACCACCTGCCATTTGTTAGAGGCACTGAACACCATCCATAAAAAAGTTGGAGACTATAACAATGTCACTGACATAAAAATGTGTTGAATTAATCATTTATACAGGTTATCCCAAAAGTAAATGGACTGATGCTTCCATTGCATTAAAACCGCTCTGATCATGTTCCAATTTTAAGAGAATGTACGTTTATGTTGGAGACAGTTAATCATGGTAGATTGATGAAGATTTCAATTGGATGTGGTACTCCATGCTCAGCTTGCCCTTTGAGAACAAGCACCATTCAGATAATAAAACCATAGTTTCACAAGAAGTTGCAATATCAGGTTAGATATTATCCAACGTTTGTGCCTGAAGAGCTCACTGGAAGGTAGTCCTTATTAGGGAATGACCCAATCTACTTACATAGTAATAGTTGTACTTGTCCAGAGAAATTCCATATCAAAAATTGCAAATAGTTGTTGCAAAAATAAAGTAGTGCATCTTCCAACAAAGTCCAGTAGGGATATAGTGAAGCTGCCCATTTTTACAACCCGAGACAACACTTCTTAGTTCTCGCCCTTTGATTAACTACCAACTACTCAGTACTCAAGATACCCACCAAAAACATTTATGGCTTACAAAGGATGAGTCTGGATATCGACTTAGAAAATATTGAAAATTGTAATGTCCGAAAAACCAACTCAATCACACATATTATGAAACTTAAATATCTTATCCTTCTTCTGAGAGAACAAAAATATCAATTTGTATCACAATTAATGAATAATGAAGAATATTGGCATCAAAGAGAATGCATATGACTATGCCACAATTGAAAAAAATTTAAGTGCAAATACTTAATGAATAATTTATACAAAAAGTTTGAAATATATCCTCCAAAACATTGCTTACTTTCTTTGTATAGACATTGAATGGTATTTCTTGATAAGTGAATTGGTGTTTATCTGAGTAATCATGGGATTATAGTCAAAGTTACTGAGCATCCAGTTTTGACACTTCAATTGTGTTGGTGAAATTATACATATGTCAGTCAAATTTTAAGTTAAACGATCATTTTGTAAAAATGTGAAGTTTGACTGTAATTCTACCTGTTACATTGATTCAATGAGGTCAAGTGAGAAAGCATTGCGCACGCAACAGACGTTTGAAATATCAGTCTTTAACCACCAATGTGTCCAGATGAATACAAAATTATATTTATATTCTACTCCAGATGATGATAAATATGCATTTTGCAAGCAAACACACTGGAAAGGGTGGGCCATGAAATCACATGGGAAGGGCACTTGACCTCATTGAATCAATGTAACAGGTAGAATTACAGTCAAACTTCACATTTTTACAAAATGATCGTTTAACTTAAAATTCTACCATGTTACATATTCAATGAGGTCACGTGAGATGTTTAAAGCCAACAGATGGACACATTGTGTGATCAAAACACGGACTTGAATGAATATTTAGGTCCGTCATGAAAAGATGCAAGGACGTGGATCTCGTCCTTTTTTGATGTAATCAAATTGATTAAGCGAATAAGTGATTACAAATAATCTTTGTTTATTACTTAAACAAGAAGTAACTAATACAAAGTTAAATACATTTTATAACATATCAAATAAATCATAATAATACACCATACCAATCTTCTCTGGCTTTATTCTCTCAAAATAACCAAATGAACTACTTTGATTCAGTTGTTTTAAGAACACTTAATCCAAAATTGTCAGAATCTTTCTGCACAGGTTTATTGTAAAACTTTGCGAATGTACTACTGGAAGACCAACCTGCTGCCTTAAGAATAACATCTAGCCCAACACCTGCATTTTATTTTAGTGCTGCTGAAGTAGACGCAGAGCGTGTGGAATGAGACTTAAAAATATCGACATTAATTCCAGCATTTTTGATAGTGAGCTTGATCCACCTACTGATGGTGTCAAGAGATACAGCTGCGTATGGTTTCTGAAAACTAATGAGTAGCTGACTTTGGTTACCTCTTAGAGTGTCCGTGCGATTAATATAGTCTTTCAAAGCCGCACATACACATAATTTCACATTGCTATATCTTGGTAAAGTGAGAATTGGTAATGGTTTTCCACATTTTGATGTTTTTAAACACTGTGAAATAATAAGTTTATAACCTGAGTGTTCTTCGATGCAATGCTCGACTGTCAATGTATGCAACGTTTGACGACGTTGACCTGTAATTAACGCCAGAAGTGTCACTACTTTTTTAATGATAAACGTTCATTGGGATAAAATGTCTCGAGAAAGTTTAACACTACTGATACATCCCATGTTGATTCATATTTTGGTAACGGAGGTCTGTCGTTGAACACACCCTTCATAAACCTAGAAACCAAAGGGTGATTTCCAAAAGTAACAGAGTCTTGTGATATAATGAATGACAACGCTGACCTGGCCGTATTAATAGCACTGTAGCTTAAATCGTCCTTATAAAGAGACGTGAGAAAATCGAGTCCTATGTTCACAGATGATTGAAATGGATCAATTTTCCGTCTATGACAGAAGTGTACCCACTTACGTAAGTAGACAGCATATTGCTTTTTGGATGCAGATCGCCAAGACAATAAGATGACTTCGGTAGTGTCTTTCGAAATTCCCTGGATTTCGATGGATCGCCGGATAAAAGACATGCAGTCAAAGTCATCTTTCTCCAAAGAGGATGGCGTTTCTGTTTGTCGTACGGTAGGTACAATAACGTTCTCCTTTTGGGTAATATCACTGGGATATCGATCAAGAGTCTCAGAAGTTTCGGCCACCATGGCTGTGTTGTCCACACTGGTGCTATAACGATAGCATTGGTTATGGCATCGTGTTCGATCTTCTTTAGAACTCTCGTGATCAAACTGAAAGGACAAAACACATACAAAGTTTCATCATTCCACATTATATTCAATGCATCGATATTTTCAGCATCTGGATCAGGTTTCCACGACACATAACGTGGGAGCTGATGATTCAATCTTGAAGCGAACATATCAATTACGGGAGATGGCCAATCAGACAGATTAATCAGTTGATTGAACACTGCTTTGTCGAGCATCCACTCTGTTTCATCATGGAATACTCGAGATTCCTCATCAGCGTCAGTGTTCTTAGAACCTGGAATAAATGCTGCTGAAAGCCAGATATTTCTGAAAATGCAGAATTTCCAAATATCTTTTGCTAGGTTATCACAAGCAATCGATGTGATACCTCCCATTTTGTTAACGTAAGCCAAAGCCGTAGTGTTATCCGTTTCAACACGTACGTGGATGTGTGATTTTTCTCTACAAAAACATTTCAATGCAAGATATATGGCCATCAATTCAAGATAATTGATATGATTGGAAGCTTCTTCAGCTGACCAACGTCCACCTGTTCTAACAGAATTGGTGACACATATTGCACCCCAACCTTTTGTGCTGCTATCTGTTCGTAACAACATACCTGGATCTGTAACAGAAATTGGTTTAACGGATTTCGTTACATTATTAATCCACCATTGTAGGTCGGATTTTGCATCATTTGATAATTGCATGCATGCATCAAAGTTGCCTTCATTGATAGATAAAGCCTTTGTTTTATCTCTTTCAAGATTTCTATAATGAAGCTGGCCATATTGAACACCTGGTAGAGATGATACTAATTTACCAATGATTTGTGCTACATCCCTGATTGTGCAGTTGCTACGAGACAATAATGATTTACACATAGATTTCACAACTTGTGCTTTATCACAGGGAAGTTTTACAGTCATATTGATACTGTTAAGTTCGAAACCAAGAAAAGTTATTACCTGTGTTGGTGTCAAGATAACCTTTTCTGGATGAACTATGAAGCCAAGTGTTCTGAGCAAATTGATTGTGTCATAGGTGTTCTGCTTACACTGCTCAGAGGTTTCTGCAAATAGACAGCAATCGTCAATATATGCTACCGATAGATGGCCTTCATTTCGCAATTTAGCAAAAACAGGTTTCATAATTTTAGTGTATAGTCTGGGGGCCGAAGATAACCCTTGAGCTAGACAAGTGTATTGATATAGTTGGCCCTTCCATTCAAATTGCAGAAACCTTTGAGAATCAGTAGCAATTGGCACACTATAGTAAGCGTCTTTAATGTCGACACAACTCATGTACATATTAGGTGACACGATGTTGAGGGCATGTTGAAGATTTTCCATCTTGAAATGATGATATTCTACACTCTGATTTATATCAGATAAGTTTAAGATCATTCTTTTTGACCCGTCTTTTTTGGGTAGCAGGAAAATAGGTGACACGTGACCTTTTTTAGAATCATCAATTGGTACAATGATACCCTTTTTTGCAAATTTGGCAATTTCTAGATCCATGCTTTCATGATCTGACCTTGAGTAATTTGTGTTACATGGCCATTGCATTCGTTGAATATCATCATCTCAAAATTCAATCGTGTAACCACTGATAGCATCTAATATAGACTGATCTGATGTTATACGTTCCCATTCATGCAAGAACATTTTAAGTCGACCACCTTGAAAATAATTGACAGAGCTTTTAAGTGTTTGTCTTACCTTTTCAGGTGCAGTGTCTATTGTAATAGTGTCAACATGACCTATTGATTGGTGGTTTTCTCGCTGGCATTGCTGGACTTGCTCTTGGCCCCTCTCCCTCTCTTGTTGGGATATCGGGTAGAGTTCCGCTGGTGGTTGTTTCTGCCGTAGCCCTGGCCTAAAAAATGGTTGTTGGAATTGTTTCCACGACCACGTCCACCGTAACCACGTCCCCTTCCTCGATTACCCCGAGTGGAAGACGGAAAAACGCCTCGCAGTTGCGTTTTATTCATTTCTGCTATCTCTTTCACCTGTTTAGAGATGTCGTCTCCAAAGAGAAACTGGGTAATTGGCACAGATTTGGCGCACAAATGCTTGAAACTTTGATTAATTTCATTTTTGAAAAGTTCACGTCTACGCATGTTAAGTTTCAAGTTTGCATAACTGCTGAATAGCATATTTTCGTACACTAATTCCGCGATGGTCGTAAGCACATCATCAAAAGCATCGGATTCTTTGCTAAGAGTCTCTTTGAGATTATCCAGTGCTTCCAATGCACGTGAAGAAGCAATTATACCCTTCACAAGGGGAGTTTGCACTTTTTGATATTTAATATCATTAGAGCGAACTTCGGCTGAGACCCGAGTCCAAATAGGTTCATTAACCTTTGTAGTGCACAATAATGGAACGTTTTCAGGCGTCTTGTGACCATCTAATTTCGAAACGATATCGTCATCCTCTGGCTTCGCCTGGATTAGTTCTGTGACGATTTCAGCCATAGCTTCAGATAAAGGAGGTCCATTATCGTCTTGTAACTTGGTCTTAGATCGAAGTTTATTCATAAGGGAAGAAAAAACTTCAGTCGATTCGGACGAGGAAGTTTTCTGCTTTTTAGCAGGTGGTTCAAGGACGTCAGGATCCTCATCCTCTTGATCAGGAATATCACCATAACTGCATAATCATCATATTGACCACTTTGGTAGTCGGTTTTCAAAGATTGCTTTATATCACCTAAAGCTTCGACCATAGTATCTTTGATACATCCCAATCCCGTGCTAATAGCATTTGTAATATCCTGTACAAAGCTCACGGGGATACCAGATTCATTGTTCGTGGATTTACAAGGCTCACTTCCCATTGAAGAGGCAGTGGCTTCTGATGTCAAGCTTGGCGACTTCATAATGACCGACTTGTCGGAACTTTTAGCTTTTATAGAGCTGGACTTCTTTGAAGATTTTGTCTTTGTTCCACTGTCCAAATCTTCTTGAAAGGAAGGTTTAGACTTTAATGCTTGTGACATGTTCGATTGCATACGATTTATACATGCACAAACTCTGAACGCATGAACTGATTGCTATTGAGCAGAACTGCTATTGAGCAGTTGAACGTGTCAATGATATTGCACGTGGTATGTTTTTGTACTCAGAATTGTACAATCATGCGACAGCGCGTATAAATAACTGTTTTTGAACAGTTGAATGGTCAAAGGACGTTTTAATTCCACGCAGTGTGGTAGAAAAACGTATGCATAAAGGCATTAAAGGGCGAGTCAATATTTATTGACTGTTTCTCCCGCCTTTTTAAACAAAGGAAACGGAACTTGGCAAAGAAAAAAAAAAAATCAGCATCATAGATAACAAAATTGTAATTATACTCTTTTGCTTCCCAACAGAATGCTGTTCAATAATAAGTGAAGGTTTAATGAAAAACATTTAATTCACTAACCGTATATATCGCACCAAAGGCGATACGTCTGTTCTATTCGCGTGTCTGCAACACACTGATATTTCAAACGTCTGTTGCGTGCGCAATGCTTTCTCACGTGACCTCATTGAATATGTAACATGGTAGAATTCATGCGGAGCACAAAAAAAACATTTTGGTTTCAATTTTATAATCTCTATACATGACCCTGGTGATGAAGAGTCAGAATCAGTCAAAAAGCCCAAACTGGAAAAGTGCTCATTGTGAAAACTAAAAGTGAAGCTACTTTTTTCTGATATTTCTTATACCAAATGGCAGCCATCTTGCTTTCCTCACTTCAAATTAAACTGGCGGGAAATTTAAAAAAATTGAATCCAAAAATTTAAATATTTTTATTTTTTTTAATTCTTCATGGGTCTTTTATGTTATTTCTATTTTACATGTCATAAATGTTGCAATTGGTGTTTTTTAATGATTATTTGTTTTCTGTTACTTAACAAATATAACTAGGACAGTTATAAAAATCATGTTTCACATACATTTAACTGAGGGACCAAAAGGGCATATATCCAGACTCATCCTTTAGTTATGTCAAAAGAATATTATGCTATGGAAAACACTCCAAATCTACAAACCAGGGTGAAATAAACTTCAGTTAATGCTTTAATGAATAAGCAAAATTGACTTAATTGAGTTAGAGTAGACTGTAAAGATCTTATGATATAGTGATTAAATACCAGACTTCAACTAGGCTAACCAATCTCAATATGCTCATCACACTACATTGCTAAAAGATAAATTGACCTTCTACATGTTCTAGGGATCGAGACTGATGAACAACAAATCAAAATTAAGTTTTTACATGAATCAATTGTTATATTTCACAATATTTATACAAACTGTACAAAAACATACATGCTCACAGCAACAATATACATTATAGTAAAATACTTGACAACCCAAATATTGGATTTTTGGTTTTGTTGGCAGGTAGAGTAAATATTCAGCGGAGACCAGCTGCTCTCCATAAAACACACTGATGAGAGAATAGAACAGTACCTTACTATTACGGTACTGCTATTTGTAACCCTTATAGAGCTTTAAGGAAATTATCAATAAATAATATGACATAAGCCAATTCCTCTAAAGCTGCTTTATCTCTCACATATGGTCCAGTTTTAATGGAGAGATATTCACCATTTACAAGATGATTTAACCTGGATCTGAAGTTAAGGAACTTAATAAATAAGTGACCAATGTATTATATTAAAGATAGTCCAGTTTTAACTGCCAGCCTCGTCTCCATTGTGAAGTTCTTGAGAAAAGTGTTGGGGTTACAATGACTCCACTGGTTAAATTTGGCGAATAGACAGAATATTGGATTTATTGTGCGATTCTAGAATTTATCTGCAGGGGCTCTAATGTCATCTATCTTGAGTATCATCTTTACTACTTGTGTGGCTAGTAGTATTTGTTGTTTCTTAGATAACAGTGTCTCTATCACATGCTGCTCTTTCATATCTGAAACACATCAATATCAATACTGAATATCATGCATTACTATTTCACTGTTATATGACCCAACATATGATTGGTCCATGCCATATGCCTGACCCCAAAAAGAAGGCATATTACAGGTATATGCATTCATACAACCAAACATAAACAATATACACACAGGTTAACAATTTAGAAAGGTTTGGTTGTGAGTTATAAAGCTGAAATACAGTTGAACATGATCATATTGGAAATCTAAAATAATAGTAACATTAATCTGAGTACAGAGAATGAAATTTTTGCCAGATTACGTGATCCTTGTTATGATAAATATTTTCTTTCAAAGGAACTTGGAAGTAAATTGAGTGTGAGTAAGTGTAAAAAGCCCTGAATAGTTCAATAACATACCACTACATCCAGTGTTCATACAGTCAATTCCAAGACGTGGATTGTTCTCCTTAACATGTCTAGACTTGATATCTGATAGAGTTTGAATAGGTGCCAGACCACTGTTCTCTGCCAAAGCCAGTGGAATACTCTCTAAGGCTTCAGAGAATGCCCTCATGGCATATTGTTCTAATGTGGAGACCTGAAATGAATAAAATCTAATAATAATTGGCTGGTTCAGTCCCACTTGGTAAAGAGGGGGGGGATTTTCCAGTTTCATAGATAAGAATCAGGTTGGACTGTTCCAGAGATAGGAGACGGTAAGAGGGGGAGTTCCTCTCACAGCACTATGATGGTGGATTTTGATATATGGCCCCGTAGTATGTGAGCATCAGGTAGACGAGTAAAACACTCATCGAATCTGTTGCATATACAAGATGGTGGACTTGCACACAGCACTACAATGGCCAAAAAATCAATTAATTTTGTTTCTGTATAATTTTAATATACAAAGCTATTTTATGAGATTATCAGCAGGTGTGTTCTAAAATACTTTGCAAATAGGACAGAATTAAGAGTGGAGTATTTGTATTTTGAAAAGAAACATACCTTGTCCGCAGCTCTATGTACAGCCAAAGAGCATGAGATTTCTGACGCACCTCCCCCATATACTATTCGGTTATCTTTTACTAGGTTCCTAATGACACACAAGGCATCGTGTAGACTACGTTTTGCCTCAGCCACAATCTGGAAGAGAAACCCCATTTCTAATGATATACATGATGATATAATGTATAACATGATATAATGTATAACATGAGAAAATAGGACACAAACAAGAATAATACAAAAATTGACAATCTGTGTTGTGCAATATTCTATATGGCAATGTTCCAGAGATAGGAGACGGTAAGAGGGGGAGTTCCTCTCACAGCACTATGATGGTGGATTTTGATATATGGCCCTGTAGTATATGAGCATCAGGTAGACGAGTAAAACACTCATCAAATCTGTTGCATATACAAGATGGTGAACTTGCACACAGCACTACATAGCCAAGACATAATATTAGAGTCGAACAAGTCTGGTTGGTTGATTCTCCCTACTAATTTTATCAATACTGCAATAAGCTCTCAATTTAAATTTCTCTTTAATTAGTACATACCATTTTATTTCCTCCTCTAATAAATATTGTTACAGCTCTAGAGTTCTTGCAATCTTCAATGACCAACATGCGTTCCTTTGTTGTACCAAAGGTAAGTTCTCGTACAATACCAGCCTGCCCCAGTTTGTCTGCATTTAGCTCACTAAATCTTGGAACAATACGACCTCCTGTGGCAATGGCAATTAGCTGCAATTCAAAATATGAACTTAACCTTCAAAATAATAAGATACCATACTTATCTGGACACAAATGCTATCTTAAAATATTTCAGATATTTTATCCTGGATATGTTTCACTTTCAAAGAAAAAGATCTCACTCTAAAATTTGTCCACATATTTTAGAAAAAATTCTCTACAGGTTCAATTAATTTCATTGTACAAAAGACATCTGTCTTTCCCTAAGCCAGTGATCTCACTTCTGAACAGTCATTTGAGCCAGATGTAACAGAATGTTCAAGTAAGGTACATAATAGAAAAGTGTCATTTGTCTCACCTCTATTTCTGGCCCTCCTACCCAGCGGACTGCTGGTAGTTCATTTTGTAAGAGAAGATGGTTGGCTTCATCATCAAATCCCCACTGGCATATCACCAAGTTGGCCCCTGTATCTTTCACCTAAAATACGCAAAACATGTAAGACAACAAAAAAAATGTTTAATTTCAATACTGTAAAACGTGGAAACCCTATTTCAATACTGTGGAACACCTCTATTAGTGAAATACCTCCATAATTGGAATAATTCAAAGCACTTTGAACTATTGACTTAATGTTAAATGAACCTCTGTAAGTGGAGCCTTTCCAAGTGGAACACCTTATTTAAAGTACCAAAGATGTTTAGTCCACTGCTTACACAATTTATACTATATTTCCAAAAACTAGAAATAGACTATCATGATATAACAAGAACAAGAACCAGAATGTACAAATCAAAGAGAATACGTATTTTCTTGAAGATTTGTAGACTTTGGGTTGCTAAATATGCACATATAGCCATTACATACAAACCATGGCCATTACATACAAACCATAACAGTTCATTGCTGTTTGCTTAGCATAGTTATATGTGCTCAGAAAAATATTTTCCTCATCATGTTTATTAGGAGTTGGATTGTAAAATCATCACTGCACATCTTTAATAATGGCTTAATTGTCTATAATTCGAGTACAACAGGTTTGTGGCTCATTGGCTTGGAGATTTATGGAACTTCTGAACAATACATTCACTTTTTTTTTCTATTTCACATGAAATACATAAATACCTCTTTGACCATTTTCTCAAAGGTCTGTCTTTCATATTCTCTTAGTTTCTTGTAGTCTTCTACTGAAGTGACATCTAACTTGTGTTTGGTCTTTGGCTTTGGTGGTTCAAAAGGACAGGTTAATATTGCCATCTTGGCATTTTCTACTCTCTGAAACAATCAAATATTCAGATTTTATTGATCAATGGTATTCCATGACCCTGACATGACATGGAAAATTGCTGGTTAAACATATTTTCTATACCTCTTAGATGAGAATATAAATTTTTCTGTGATATATAAGAAAAGCATCATCATTTTGCTAGAGAGTACTAATAAATATTGTTTCCCCCTAATCGGTTTAACAATCCTATGGTTAAAGGTTTGAAAATTGTTCTGAGGGAGTTTTTTCTAGCATGGTGTCTGATCTGACAAGCCACTTAACTGGACTTGCAGGAATTCATCCATGCATCACTTGAAATACATAGCACCTAGTCTCTGATCCATTCCCCACTATTAAACCACAATCAATATAAAGAGAATAAGACAGGGGGAGGGGCAGACTAAAAGAATGCAAGCAAAAAAAACAGTTTTTACCTTTGGCATCTGTGGGTGGCTCATGTCTTTGTCTACAATTACACCCTTAACTAACATAGTATCTTCGAGTTTACCCCCAACTTTGGTCTCCATTTTGATGAGTTCAAAGTCCACATCTTTACGCTCTAGGTCAGCTACAGATAGAATAGCATTCACTGCAATTTCTGCCATCTGTCTGTGACATCGGTTTACTCTGAAATTAATTGTTGTTATTTTGTCACCATTATAAATGGTATAGAGTATCAGTCTCACAACTTACACAATCAGTCGTCAAAAGACGCAGGGTAAAATGTAAACTGCATGGTATTCTATGAACAAGACAATAAGTTTGAGCTCAGATTTTAAACATTCCTCATCATCTTTACTAGGAGTTGGATTGTAAAATCATCACTGCACAAAAAACAATCTTTTATCACTGGTGATCCACTTGATTACGTTTGTAACGGTTTCGGTAACAAAATGTAGGAACGTCGAAGGTACGATTTTTCTTTTTTCCTTATTTCACGCGTTGTAGGCAGAATCCCCACATTTTTTCTCACAAATGTGTACCAGTATCATATGTTTAACAAAATGTAAATGTTTACCAAAATATAGCTCAAGGGACAACAGAATCGTCGATTTAATTCCTCACTTAAGTTACATAAACGGTATGGGTTAAAAGTGCAGATCTTAACTGTTTTTCGAAATACCGTTTATGTAACTTAAGTGAGGAATTAAATCGATGATTTAGTAGTCTTCTGAACTATTTGTTCGCAAATATGTTCATTTTCTGAAACATATGATACTGATACATGTTTGTGATAAAAAATGTCGTAGGAATTCTGCCTAAAACGTGTGAAATAAGGAAAAAAGAAGAAAAATTGTACCTTCGATGTTCCGACATTTTGCTACCGAAACGATCTGTTTCGGTAACCAGAGTAATCGAGTGGATCACCAGTGTTTTACGCCTATTACAGTGAACTCTCCCCACTGCAGCCCTAATGAATGTAGTCATATAAATCTGACCCTAGTATGATGTTATTTGTTGTTATTTTTTCTGATTTGGATATTTATTTTTCTTATTTTCTTGCATACTAGGGTCATACACACTCCGCGCATCTAAATTGCGGGAAATGCTTTCCTGGCCTGTCTACCCAACCAAATTAACACAAATGATAAATAAATTTCTTTGCTTCAACTATAAAGTATCTAATCTTACCTTAGACACGTAAAACGCTTGGTAATTGAAGAAATATAAGCATGCCGCTTGAATTTTAAAATTTTTTCATTTTGCCATGCCAAGGTCACTTCCGGGTTAATCTGAGTCTAGATGTAAAACTATATCAAACGAAATCATAAGCACTTGTTACACGAAGATTCAGTTGAAAGGGAAGCAGTGTCGTTAAGAAGGGAATTTATTTGGAAAAGTTATTGTTTCAAAATGAGAAAAGTAATAAGTATGAGAGAACGGCTTTGGAATCGATCTCTCATCTCTGTGTAATAAATAATTATGATTCCGTTTCGTTACATGTTTTACATTTAGACTACCGGAAACAACATTCAGCAACATGGCGGGCGATAATGAAAATATAATTCAATTGATTATATTTCGTCAATTATCAAGCGTTTTACATATCTAAGGTAAGATTTAACACTTTGATGTTGGAGCTAAATAATTACTCGATAATTTGTGTGACTTTGGTTAGTATGGTAACTATGGTTACCAAGACAGGCCAGAAAAGCGTTTAACGCAATTTGTCAGCAATAATATCTACGACCGTATATGCTAAGAAAATGATAAAAAATAAATATCCAAATAGGAACAAGGAATATCGAAGAACAGCATACAACGGTCGGATTTATATGACTATAATGAATGAAAATGTTCCTCCAAGGACTATGACTGTTATGTTTCCAGTATTCAACAGTAAGCAGATATTGTTTCTAATATGTTCACAACACAGTACCCAATGAAAAGTTAAATATTGCTTAAACCACTAACATTTTTGACCCCAATGTAGTCATGGCTGTTTTTACAAGGGGTTCTGGTTGGCTCAGATCTACAGAGAAGGTTTCTGCAATTGTGTCAAGATGATCTATAGCCACTTTAGCAGCCATTTCGTAGCCATCAGCCACTCTGATTGGGTGAATACCTCGCTCTAACAACTTTTCAGCAGTATCTAACAGTGCACCAGCCAACACTGAAAACGTAGAATACAAATCATCCATAATCTTGTTACTTTGGATGCAAATACAATTCAATTCAATTTCAATTCTATTTTGGTCCATTCATTTTAGAATTACAATTTTTGTATAAAACATGAATACTTTACATACTGATTAATTTTTTGTCTCCCCCTAATCGGTTTAACAATCCTATGGTTAAAGGTTTGAAAATTGTTCTGAGGGAGTTTTTTCTAGCATGGTGTCTGATCTGACAGGCCATTTAGCTGGACCTGCAGGAATTCATCCATGCATTAAAGTGAGACTTGAACAACTGATAATAATTATTTTAAGATCACTAATGTTGTACAACCAAAATGACAAATACAAGGTAAACATCCATTTAAACAATTTACACATGAAAGTGAAACATCCATGCACAGAACTACCAATCTTAACGATGCACATCAATACAGTGAACTAGAAATTTTCCTCACCTACAACTCCAGTGGTTCCATCTCCTATCTCATCATCTTGTGATTTGGACAACTGAACCATCAACTTTGCAATCTCATGTTCAACATCCATCTGGTCAAGAATAGTAGCACCATCATTTGTAATTGTGACATCGCCATCCGGTCCCACCATCATCTTATCTAGACCTTTAGGCCCCAGGGATGTTCTCAAGATTCCTGACACTACCTTGGCTGCTAAGATATGTGCCTGGAAACCACAAAGAAAAAACAGTTAACTACAAAACAGTTAACTACAGCTGTACTATATACCAAAATGATTTCAACTTTTAATGTTGTACAAATATGAACATCAAATATTTTCTGAAATAATATATCCCCCTAATCGGTTTAACAATCCTATGGTGAAAGGTTTGAAAATTGTTCTGAGGGATTTCTTACTATAGCATGGTGTCTGATCTGACAGGCCATTTAGCTGGACCTGCAGGAATTCGTCCATGCATTGATAATGGCTTTTTTAGTAGATTTTCACTGCTCATTCTATTCATAATGGCTGTTAAGAAATTTATTGATTTGTCAGTAATACCAATGTCTATAAATTGACAAATGCTTTGTGTCCATAATGCCAGTGTCTATAATTGACAAATGCGACAAGGTGTTCCCAGTAGGTTTGTACGAGATTGTGTCTCTGGGACGTAGTATTTTCAAAAAATGTGCCCCCCTCAAAAAACTATGTCCCTTGAAAAAATGTTCCTGGGAATACAAAGACACGTTTTTACTGATGAGATTTTTTATCGCTTTTGCCATTTATCGGTCTAAATCAGCGTTCTAGCGAGTCTAGTATGTCATTGAATGATAAAAATACTATCAATTGTGAGGTATAACTTATATTCAACCATTAAACACTCATTTTCTTTGCATATTTCTAAGCAATTTGCTATGGCTCAGAAATATCTCGCTTTAAGGGCAATCTGCGTGAGGTTCTATTTTTTGGTTTAGTTTCTTGCGCATGGGCATTCCTAAATAATGATCATGTGATCACACTTGACCAATAGAAAATGGTTTAAATCAGGTCTTCAGCTAGCGCCCAATCGTAGGACTTGTACTGGTTACTGCTTGGAAATCAAGTATTAAATTATTTGTCCTATCACATGCCTTGTACTATTTCGATCAGAAATCAATCCAAGAACGAAACTTCGAAACAAGATTTTATTTCTTTTAGAAATAGAATTTCCTTCAATTATTTAGTGGATTCTGACAAAATAAAGACACTGAGGGTTAAATCTTTGTCAAAATCTTTGATTTTGTGCATATGATTTGGGTCCAAAAAAGGCAGTTCATTTTCATTTCGGTGCACAACATTTTTTCTTTGTGTTATTGAAAACAACAACCATCACAATACTATATGGAAAAATACTTTCTAGATGCAAAAGGTAGTTTGAATGTTTCAAGCTTAATGTGAGGTAAACCTGTGGCCTCTTGTGTTTTTGGAAGTTTCAGCAATGTTAATTTTTTCTAAAGAACATGTCAGAGAAGCACCAAAATACAAAAGAACACACATCTGTGAGCCAAACCACAAGCAATCCAAAATTAAACAAACGTTTGGCATCTAAAGTATAACTGTATTTCTCCATAGAGTATTGTTGAATGTATAGGCATTTGATAGCTTATTTTAGGTCGATATGCTTCTACTTCTTATTTTTTACTTTAGTATATGATTTCAACTTTTAATATAATTATACAAATGAACATAAAATTATTTACTTATACTTAAATCATATATCCCCCTAATCGGTTTAACAATCCTATGGTGAAAGGTTTGAAAATTGTTCTGAGGGATTTCTTACTATAGCATGGTGTCTGATCTAACAGGCCATTATCTGGACCTGCAGGAATTCGTCCATGCATTGATAATAGTTTTTTTACATGAAGATTTTCACAGCTCATATATTCATAATGGCTGTCAAGAAATTTATCGATGTGTCAGTAATGCCAATGTCTATAATTAACAAATGCCTTTTCTGCTATGTAATCAATCACATATTTGGGCCAAATCATTAGGAATAGAATTCCAAAATATACAAAAGTTTTGCATGTAAACCCAAAGTACTACAGTCTGTAAATCTGCCATGTTATTTTTTTCAGGATTAACATGGCAGAGAAACATCAAAATATATAAGAGGTGACAGACTTAATAAGCCAATTTACAAGCAATTCAAAGATATACAAATGTCATTCGTTTGCAATATAAATAGATTTTTCTACACATTAATGGCAAAATAGTCTATAGATTTCTTATTTTTCAGGTTCAACTGCTTGCCTTTGAAGCAGTTTAACAGACTGCATAAATGTATTTTTCCACTTAACATTGCATAACCTCTTTCAAAGACTGACTGATCTGATAGAACAGCCTTTGCACAACCCTCTCACCCGCTACAAAATCATGATGACGGACTGTTATATTGAAATTAGCTACTTTATATCTCCAAATGTTCCCTACATCTCCATCCTTCGTATGTGTCTGTAAATTATCAGCTGCTGCCGATCAGGAATTTCTTTAGATTTTCGAATGACATTTACAAATTGCTAAACTTTTGGTAGCTCTCATTTGAAAATATATGAAGATTTTGAACATTACTTTGTGATTTTCCGTCTAAACCGCCATTTTGATTTCTTGGTAGAAAATATCTCCTGGAGAATAAAAAGAAGTCCTGAACCGCAAAGAAGCAACTGATAATTTACAGACTTGCGCAAATGAAGAATGGGGATGTAGGGAACATTTTAGATATTTACAAAGCAACTGATTTCAGCATTTCAGTTTCAGCCGTCAGAATCGGATCAGCCAGGCTTTGTAAGAAGAAAGTATTGCACAGAGTCTTTCATGAGGCTAATTTTAGGTATGATGTACAATCCAATTGATTCGCATTAAATATTTGCTAAAACAATGTATTTCACCCCTGGTTTTTATCGATACATCACGATGTAATCGCCAAAAGCGATGCATCGGTGTCGGTGTCGGTGAAGCACCAGAAGAAAGGATATAGGCCTAACCAACCAACCATCGGAAACAAAATATTGAAGTTCTAAAAAAATCAAATCTGCTAAATATCACTTCTTATATAGCAGTTTTTTCAAACAATCCAAGGGATTGATAAGCCATAAATGACTGACACAAGTGACAGAGAAGAGTAAATGGAGAAGTGAGACAGTTTCAAGTTTGAGTTTCATCATTGGAAAAATCTTGCACAAAAAATAGTCTAGAATGTACAGCATGCAGCACATAATTAAAAATCAGTATGTTCAGAAAAGACAAACACTTAACGTTTGGCGTTTCATCTAAAGCACATAGTTAACCATGACATGTAACAAATTCAATGTGACATATTTCAAAAATAGGCCTACTTTCTGAGCTTCGAGTCCGCAGAGTCGCTTCTGTTGGTCTTGGTCTTTGAGGATGATGAACGGTCTCCCATATTCATCAAACGCTATAGACCCCATAGAAGACATCTTTAAATATTTTGCGCCGTCGATGAGAGGCAGAGGAAGCTTTATTTAGGCGATGTTGGTCGATGAAGATGTGTTGTCCATGCGATCGTTCTAGAATCCAATATGGCCGTTGGCTGGAAATCTCGACTTTACTCGAAATCTATCGCGAGATCGTCAATGTAAACATAAACATAGCAACATATAAGCAGCTTGCAATCTTAGTTCATAATAGACGCACATTGCACGAACAGAAAACCATATACAGGACGATTTAGGGGATACACATCCAACAAAATGTCTTTCTTTGGATTGACTCAATTAGGATATCAAAATACCATAAAATCAGGTGTTACTCCACCAACAAAACTACCACCAATAGACAATGAAAAATATAAACTTGCCTCAATTGTACCCATTGACCAAGTGTCAGGATATGGTAAAGGACCAGAGGGATCATATGTAGAATTCACAAGACAGAGAATGAAACACATACGGAAACCACAAGGTAAGCCAATATGCATACCAGCATAGTCGAGAATTGCATTTTCATAATCATATTTTATTGAGTAAACTGTAAAGCTAAACATCCATCATCTTTTCTCTTGACTATATTACGTATTTGTTTCTAGAGAAATGCATTTAATCTTACGGAAAGTCAGACATATAATGCAATTTTCATCCGTCATTCACCCTATGCATTTTATGTTTTGGTTTGATTTCAGGTCCTACAGAAATATGGAGAATACCTCTTACAACTTCTAGCAGGTGTGGATGGTGGCAAAAAGACAAACCATTAAAAGAAAAAGAGCCATGGACATATGTACCTAGACATGTACATGTAAACAGTGAAATGACCAGGTAAAACATAGTTACAATAGCCAATGAGTTGCAATGTTATATTTTCAAATAGAGTCCAAATGCTATTTCTATCATACCATCAGATATTATGCTGAAAGAAGAAAAATTCCTGTGTGCATCAACACCCATGTGATTTTTGAGTCTTAATTAGATGATGTATAGTTTGATAACATTAATTATATTATATATAGATTGTGAGTGTTCATGTAGCTCATAAAATTATATTGTAAAATTGTTTATTTCAGATTTGTTGATGAAATGAGCCTTACAAATAGAGAATTCAAGCTATTTTAAAGAAATAGAAGGACATTTACAGTGCCAATATATAAAAAGACATATGGTATTAGAGTGATAGAGGAGTCTAAGATATCATTTTTGTACAACAGCCAAATGGACCAAAAAGTACATTTGAATGTGGCTTTTATAAAAATAAAGATTGTTGAATCTTTGCTGGGATACAGCTTCCTGTATATCACATACACCTGTTTGTCTTTCATAATGAACATTTTTATAAACACTCCAAATGTCATACATTTAAAAGCATTACTTAGTGGTGAAAAAAGAGAATTAAAAAATATGAACACAATCATGTGTGTCAACTGTCAATGGAGAAAGTAAACAATATTTACTTTGTATTATGTTTTGTATCTAAATGCAATTGTTCAGAAAAGAGATAGATATATAATGCATGTATGTGTGTTTACCATATATATTATGAATTGATTTATGAAAAAGAAATAAAAAACACAAATGAAAGTTTTATAAATAAATGAAACATGCTGTTATTGTTTTATGATTTTAAAGGCCACCCCTGTATCCGTTCAATAAATTGACCCAATCCCCAGACCCAATCCCTAGACTAAGGGCTTACGTCAGTGAGTTCAAGGTATACCCAAACCCAGCTCTATAAAGGCACATGATATTTGATAGAAAAAGTTGATAATGTGAAACATTCCAAGTATAGAAAAGTGGATTTTAGCAAAGTGAAGTCAATAGAGTAGTCTGTAAAGCAAGCCACAATATTACCAAAGTGCTAATATAGACTGAAATACTCACCCTAAATAACCCTTAACATTTTGAATTCATAATGATATATAACTTACACAATCAATAGACACAAAACTTCTTTTTCGCATATACTGGAGGTTAAAAAAAGATCGAACAGTGACAAGTTCCAAACACTGAAATTAAGGTCAGGGTGCATGATGGGAAATTTTCTGCATCCTTCAATTGAGTCACATGTTATTTTTCAAACAAGAATCACTCCTTCCCCACATTGTCTACACCTTCCAAGTTTGCACAAAGAGTGCACTTATGTGCCTAGAAAAGACTTGTGAGAAGATTTGTTTTGTAAAATGTATAAAAAACGAGAAAATTCAGTGAAAAAAATTTCTGAAAATTTTCTGAATTTTTTCACTGAATTTTCTTGTTTTTTATACACTTCATCAAAACATTCTTCTCACAAGTCTTTTCTAGGCACATAAGTGCACTCTTTGTGCAAAAGTGAAAGATATAGACAATGTGGGGAAGGAGTGATTCTTGTTTGAAAAATAACATGTGACTCAATTGAGGGATACAGAAAATTTCCCATCATGCACCCTGACCTTAAAATGACTCGAACCTTTGACACTGATTCATATGATAAACGCATTACATTTCGAGAATTGCACCTATTAGACCATTCATTAAAAAAACTTTCTATGTATAATATGGTGAAAATAATGCTAAAATAATACATAATATGTGATAAAATAACAACAAATACAGAATGATAACAATGGTCATTTATTAATATCCCCGGGTTTTTCATCTCAATCTATTTTGTCCATATTATTTTCGTTTAGTGCGAGGTTAAGCCAATCAAAATACTACTTGCCATTCACTTCCATATTTTTAAAATAAAAATTTATTTTACAAAATTAACGCAATATCGATAATATCTTCACTTATATGAACAATGTATGACACTGTATATGGCTAGCTTTTAGAGGTCAGTATATTTATTCGCTTGAATACTAAACGTGCTGCAACAAACGGCAAATTATAGGTGAATTTTCTGTCATTGTCTGAACAAATTTCCAAAAAGGGCTCTGGAAAATAAAAAGTGAAACATTGGCCTACTGTTTTGTGACCGAGAGAGAGTCTACAAAACACAGAAGTAAGGAAGAAGAGTGTTGGGAGTCTGCAAACACATAATACAGATCTGTCTTATGTGTTTGAAGTAATGTGTTTGCCCCCCCCCCTAGACTGTATCCTTCGTCTGAATAAATATTCGGTCTGTTGGATACATACTAGCCCCCCACGCTTAGACTCAAAATGGTCTAGCCTAAATCTTACAGTAACAAGATAATCCAGTGAAAAAATCACTGAAAAACTACAAAGACCCAAAGTTAGGTATAAGGGGCGAAAAAGATGGAGTGATAGTGAAATGTTGCTTTTAGTGGAATCTATTAAGTAAATGGTTATATTGTCACAGAAGCATGTAGCGCCACTTAAACTACTAGGCTACTGGTATACTGTTCTGGATGGGGTAGGGTTACTTACAACATGGGCTCTAAGGAACTCTATTGTTATTTATAATTTTTGTAAATGACTTTTTTTACCAAGAACAATATAGATAGCGCTTCGTGCTCTTTTACGTTATGTTACATTTTGCAAGGGGTTTTAAATCAGATTTTCAAACTTTGAACACAATTTCTATATCTGTTTTTTTGTGTTTTGATGCAGTATTGCATTACCAAGAAAAAGTTTAAATATACGAATAAACTCTAACAAACTTCATTATGTCACCATCTCTACACGGTGACATAAAACTATCATGTAACTTAAGCACGTATTTCAGTATATTGTGGCGTCTTATAGCCCAAAAATATACAACAAATCTCAAAAAGTCCAATTAAATCCCTAGTGAATGACATATGGACCCTGATTGAAACTCATTGGATCTTGTCGTGACATCATTTGGAATCTGTGGAAAGTTCTAATGTACATCATCCTTCTTGACCTTTGTTATTATTACCGTGCCCTGGAAATATGAGATAAAAGCATATCTTTTATATGCGTGGCCTTAGTCAATACATTTCCTGCCTGTCTTTGTACAACATTTATACCTTTGAATGAAGATATTTCATGTATTCACACAGTTCATTATTTTACAAAATTAACGCAATATCGATAATATCTTCACTTATATGAACAATGTATGACACTGTATATGGCTAGCTTTTAGAGGTCAGTATATTTATTCGCTTGAATACTAAACGTGCTGCAACAAACGGCAAATTATAGGTGAATTTTCTGTCATTGTCTGAACAAATTTCCAAAAAGGGCTCTGGAAAATAAAAAGTGAAACATTGGCCTACTGTTTTGTGACCGAGAGAGAGTCTACAAAACACAGAAGAAGGGAAGAAGAGTGTTGGGAGTCTGCAAACACATAATACAGATCTGTCTTATGTGTTTGAAGTAATGTGTTTGCCCCCCCCCCCCCTAGACTGTATCCTTCGTCTGAATAAATATTCGGTCTGTTGGATACATACTAGCCCCCCACGCTTAGACTCAAAATGGTCTAGCCTAAATCTTACAGTAACAAGATAATCCAGTGAAAAAATCACTGAAAAACTACAAAGACCCAAAGTTAGGTATAAGGGGCGAAAAAGATGGAGTGATAGTGAAATGTTGCTTTTAGTGGAATCTATTAAGTAAATGGTTATATTGTCACAGAAGCATGTAGCGCCACTTAAACTACTAAGCTACTGGTATACTGTTCTGGATGGGGTAGGGTTACTTACAACATGGGCTCTAAGGAACTCTATTGTTATTTATAATTTTTGTAAATGACTTTTTTTACCAAGAACAATATAGATAGCGCTTCGTGCTCTTTTACGTTATGTTACATTTTGCAAGGGGTTTTAAATCAGATTTTCAAACTTTGAACACAATTTCTATATCTGTTTTTTTGTGTTTTGATGCAGTATTGCATTACCAAGAAAAAGTTTAAATATACGAATAAACTCTAACAAACTTCATTATGTCACCATCTCTACACGGTGACATAAAACTATCATGTAACTTAAGCACGTATTTCAGTATATTGTGGCGTCTTATAGCCCAAAAATATACAACAAATCTCAAAAAGTCCAATTAAATCCCTAGTGAATGACATATGGACCCTGATTGAAACTCATTGGATCTTGTCGTGACATCATTTGGAATCTGTGGAAAGTTCTAATGTACATCATCCTTCTTGACCTTTGTTATTATTACCGTGCCCTGGAAATATGAGATAAAAGCATATCTTTTATATGTGTGGCCTTAGTCAATACATTTCCTGCCTGTCTTTGTACAACATTTATACCTTTGAATGAAGATATTTCATGTATTCACACAGTTCATTCTAATAGTTTTTTAAATACAATATAATTGTATTAGTACTTCTTGCAACATAAACCGCGGCTCAGAAGGGTCGAAACACTCTTATTACTACAGTAAACTTTTTTATTGTCTACTGAGCCCAAGTTTTGCCGATTTCACACCTGATTTGTAATATATGTCTTTGTTGACATAACATTTATAATTGTTTGCCGTATTTGTTGTTGCACTTGTTGTTGGTGTGCGTGGTCATATGCATAGGATCTTGTTGTTGTTGGCGTTCTTGTTCTGAAAAAGAAATGAATTGGGGCAGTCTATATTCATTTGAGTTTCGACCTTGACCTTCCAGTTTAAAAAACTATCGTTCTTATGTAGATGGTTAGTAGCCAGTCTCGTCATGTCTCGCGGGAGGCATCTAAGGTTCAATGTCGACGGATAAGCCTATAAAACTAAATAAATCTAGAAGGGGGGGGGGGGGGGTCAAAGCCATTTCAGTTTGCTATCAGACAAATTTTAACATTTCAATTTTTGTGCAATTTTGACTCGGATCAGAATTCCTTTGAATGGTTTTAAAATAAAGAGTTTACTTGATGTCTTCTGCAAATGCTGTGCCTACTGTTGTTGTCACATGTTTTAGGAATTCTACATTGTAGCCTACATACGTTATGGTAAGCCTAATATTCCAATGAAAATCGAAAATCCACGAAAGTCCACACGCGAAAAGTCCGCGAAGATCACGTTTTTTGGGGGAGGGGGTCAAACTCAAAACTAGATTAATTTAGTTTCCTATCAGACATTGAACTTTTGATACCTCTCCTTGCGACCAGCATAGCATCATACTAACCATTTGACTAAATTTCTTCAAGTTCATAAATTGATTCTAATTTAAGCCACTTCTGGCTCGAATAATGATTCAGTAAAATAAGAAGTTACAATTCTATTCATTTCTACAATCAAGTTGAAGTGAAATTCGATTATAAATACTGAACATCAGGCTTTAAAATGACAGAAATGTTAAAATACGCTTACCCGTTCAGACAAAATTGAGAGCAATGGCGGACAATGCGTTCTACGTCACATGACGACATTACTTGGAAACACAATCGATCCGTAATCGCGTCATATGATGACTTAGTAGTTCCCTTGACAATTTGCCATATAAGGTAATAAAGGCGGTCTTTAGGTCACGTGACCGATCTACTGATTCATGTCAGGAATAAGGTACAAAGAACCGCACTTCGTGGGGGTCTTTGTAAAAAATTTAAATCATAAAGATAAAAGACGTCAGATACGAGACTCAGCAGCTATACCCCCAATCTTACTTCCCAGAGAGCATCTGTGCTACGGAACAGAAAGTATATAGTGTAGCCCTAGCCTAGAAATCATCCCAATCTCTGTGCTCTGTTTTGGTGTTTGTGACAATTTCAAAAGTAACAAGATAATCCATGATAGCCCATGATTTTATACAACTCATCTAGTTCTAATTTTTCAGTTTTCTTTAGTGTCTTTCATATTAGTCTTAAAAGATTTATTATAAAGTTGTATTTCCCATGACCACATCAGTTTTAGTGCAGTCACCTCAATTTCATTCTTTGGTAATCATCATCCCAACAATCTCTTGAAAGCCAATGATCAGATAGATGACCAAGGGGCTATTTATAGCTCTGAATATATGTGATGGTCCCAAAGAGTTTCCCAGTTTACAATTGCCAAATTATTTCAGTGTACAATTATCCTAGGTCAGTTTTGATTGTTTGCATAGGTCTGCAACAGATTCAAGATTCATGTAGAATTTTGTGCCCTGTTGAGGAAAAATGTAAATAGACTAGTGAAATAAAACAACAACTTTTTGTTCCACTCTCCTTTTATCTGGGATGAGAATTGAGTACAGATACCAGGCCCGTCGCCAGGGGGAGCTGGGGGAGCGGAAACTCTCCCCTGGACAGAAATTCTTTCAGAATCGTGCATTTTTACCATTCAGAGCACTTTTCGCATGGCAAAAGCTCTGCCCTTGGTAAGTCCTGGCTACGGGCAAGGATACTCACTCTCATGTTTTTTTCTGTACTAGTCTTTATAACACCACACATGCACTGTGTATGTGCTGTACAGTTTACAATGTCGATGTATATTTGTAGCAACTATGGGTGACAGTGAGGCATTAAAACAGCAGTTTGCTTTACTGCAAGAGCAACAGCAGAAAAAGTTGAGTCGAATGAAACAAAGGAAAGAACAAAAAGAAAAGAAAGATGATTCTCCTGAGAAAAAAGATGAAACTAATCTATCAAGTTCATTTGGTATAGATGACAATTTAGGTTTGAAGGTAAATATTATAGTATTGTGCTGTTTGCCACTGGCTGAGCTCGAGAATGCTTCATATTTTATGACTTTACTCCTTATACAACATCCCATTTCCTCAGATCACCTTTCGGCCAATCAGAATTGAGTATTCCAGTACTAATAGTTCTTACCTACTGCATAGATTTTGTCAAAAATCATGAACATTCCTCGATCTCAATTATTATATAGTCCTATCTGGCATCTTACAAATGCTGGTGGAGCTTGACAAACCCTAACTTTTTGTAATATCTGCTTCAATTTAATGTTTAATCCACAAAAGCAGAGGTGACATGTCAGTAGTAGCCAGAACTGTTGGAGCATCCAGATTGCACTCTCATGGTACTGTGTATATATCATGTAGAATGTGTATTATGAGACCCACTGGCTGCATTTCCATTGTGTTTTACAGCTTTCTGAACCTCCACCTACAACAGATGGTATCTATTCTGAAGAACTTGTAACACATTTGAATGAACAAATACGGGTGAGTTCATCTCATATGAGAATTGTAATTTTTTTAATGATACAGTTGTCATCATTCTCTAAAATTACATCCCAGAATGTTTATTTTATTGTATGCTATCTTTGTTTTGTCTTTTGACTGTCAGTGTTTGGCAGCTGTATGAAATTGTAACACTTTTTGCAATTATCTTTCTGAAACATGTAAGACCAAGCAATAACTTCCTGAATGGTAACATTTTGTGATGTTGATGCCTTGTTTGATACCTTCTTTAAATTGCTATTATGCTTTATCTTAGACTTTAAAAATGTCATATAAAAGAATTTGTTGATGCACATAAACAAATTGTTGCAGGAGCTAAAAGATGAGTCTGGAAGGCTGTATAAATTGTTAACTGAGAGGGATTTTGAAATAAGAAAGCTGAAGAAGAAACAAGAGGACCACAAACTAGCTCTCTCTGGTAATGTTGAACATGTATCTAATCCTGAAACTTTTCTCAACAGATGCATATAGGTGTCATACATTCAAATTAATCCGGGATTTGAGATTAGAAGTGACCAATGCTTTTAATTAGTATCTTGAAAATCAATATCATTAAAGATGCTGGCAAAATTCAAATATATATACATGTATAAAATATTATTAATTTCAGGGGGAGGTGTGGCAAAGGAATCGGCAGCTACAAAAATAGTTGATCTATCTAAGAAGGTGCGAGAGTTGACAGCAGAGGCTGAAAGTGAGCGCACAAAAGCTAGACAATACAACAAAAAATGTCACGATTTAGAAAACCAGTTAGTTGCAGAGAAGAAAAATAAATCTAGTCATTCCTCTATTGATGATCTCCCTCCTGATCTAGCAGAAAGGGTACATTTTTTATATATCCATAGCATATTGTATTTTTTTCTTCCTTTTTCATTTGGCTCATTTTGCCACTGTTATTGTACTGTACTCTCTACAATTGTTCTTTCTCTTCAATTATATATGTGAAAACTAGTGGTAAACTGCATACAGTGCACAATGTACATGAAATGTCACAGTGAATTCCACCTTGTGATGCGGTTGGTATCTGTAACAAATGGCAGGTGGTGACATTTTCATGTTAATGCCTTGTTTTGTATTTTTTCGGTATTAATTAAGTTTATGAAAAATATAACACAATATATCCCAAGTGTCCAGAGGCACAGACCCATTGAAGAAGCAACACATGTACATTAAGCTTGATAGTATTATTAAGATAACTTACTGTAACTGTTCTGAAACTTGAGTGTTATGGGATGAACCACTTATTACTGAGATTTCTCAACTTTTCATACAAATTTCTGCTGGCTGGTCAACCAGCACAAATATAAATATCATACAGATGTTTATATTTTAAGTTTACTTTCAGGTACAGTTACAAAATGATGTGAAATCATTACAAGAAAGGCTCAAACAGAGTGAATCCAGATGTACAGACTTCCGTAATCAATGTCAGTTATTTAAAAAAGATCTCACGATTGCGCAAAAAGTAAGTTGATTTTCACTTCCTTTGCATTTACTTAGATGTTATCTGACTATGATGTAAAATTTGCCTGAATTCTGCTTTTGCAGGCAACACCTCATTAAGAGACATATCTCACTCAAGTGGTGTATTAAATAGTTTTATTCCCATGGTTACTTGATCTTTACGTTACTTATGTTACTTTATATAATGATGTACGTCATACCAGTATAAATTTTAGTCTTTGATAGAAATGAAACATGTTGTCCTAAAGTTGTTCTGGTAAATTTCTATTTGGTACCGCAAAAAGCTATATAGTAAAACTACAATATCAAATTTTGTTCAAGTATTGAGTTTTAAAATGAGCATTTGTGTTTCTAGGTTTTGACTAGTGAGTTAGGGGACAATGTCAATATTCAGGCCTTGCTAAAAGAGCCAAGTGATTTTAAAGGACGTTCACAACAAATATCAATTCTTAAAAAACAGGTTAGTATTCAGCAACATGGCAGAATGATGTTCAAATATTTAAGTCAAAGAGAAAAGGCCTAAGAGAACTACAAAACACAGCAAGAAAAATAAGCTTTAGAGCATGGCCAATCATAACGAAAGTAATCCTCCATTAGCACAAACTATTAATGCAAGAAACAATGTATTAAACCCTTCCCAACAGAAAGCAACATCACAATGCAAACCCACAAGGCTGTGGAACATATCATTCATGCTGCTGAAGTCATTGTTATATATTGAAGCAAAAATTATTTAGACTTGAGTGAACATTCACCTTCAGTCTCATCCCTTTTGGACACATCAATATTCTATCTTACTGAATAAAAACATTTAGATGAAAATGTTATTTTACAGGTAGCTGAATTAAAACTAGCTCTTGGGCAAACAAATAGATCACCAAGACCTGCGACTCAAATGACAGATGACCTTGAGGCAGAGTTCATGGGGTCAGCAGTATCTACTCGTAGTATGCGTATCTCGGATAAACAACGTGATACCATACGAAAAATGGAAAAAGACAGAAAGGAGTCAGCAGAAATGGCAGTCGCAGAGCTGAAGGCATTAGAAGGAGATCATGCAGCTCTTAAACAAAAGTTTGATGCTTTAAAAGCAAGGTTAGAAGATACTTGTTTACCGAATTAATGCAGGTGTTATATTGAAATTATACCAATGGGAAAATCTTGACACATTCCTGCAATAAATTACTTCATCCAGTATAAGAACAAGTCATTGACTATGAGGCTTTATCATGAATCGATCATGAATATTTATGTTAATCATTTAAATGATGAAATTTCAATGGATCTCTGGAATCAAACTGGACCTTTTATTTTGGCATTGAAACTTTGGCCCTAGATGATTGATGTGGCCTTCACAAAGAGTAATGATATGGAGATTTTTTTTCATTGATTTCAATGTAACAAGCCAATGTAACAAAAGGTTTCAATTACCACATTGATATACTAAGAATTGAACACTTATATACCATTTTAAAGACTGAAATTTGTTTTATGCTATTTCAGGAACAAAGTGCTATCAAATGACAATAAGTCTATGAAGTCTAAGATGCAGACATGTATTGACAAGGGGAAGCATGATGATGAACTTATTCAGGCTCTAATGGTAAGCACTTGTATGCAGCAGCAGCTACTGCTCCCCCTCAATCATTTCAAATCGATCTAGCTGATATCCAATCAGATCTGTGATCAAGATACTATAATTTCTGCAATATATGTCCACAAAAAGGTCAATACATTTATAATAGAAATACATTATGCATATAGAAATACATTTCAAATATCAGCATCAAACTTTGAAATCACCTGTACTAATATGAGAGTTGTGGGGCTATCTTTGAGGAACTCATTCAAGAATTCATTTCAGAACCAGCAGTCCCATCTCCAGAACTTACTGGACCAGTCTACCAAGCTACAACAAAGTGCTCAGAACCAGCAAGAAGCTAAGATGAGGGAATTGTCAATGCGCACACAGCAGGACAACAATGTGGTGGATAAACTCAAGGCTATTATAGCAGCCAAGGAGGAAAAGGTTGACCAGTTGGAACAGGAGATGAAAAAAATGCAGCTCCACGTAAGTTGATTAATTAGGGTTTTCAGCGATAAGGTTTGAGAGTCAGTTGGGTGGGTTTACTTATTACCTCTTGATTCGGTTTGGATCATGATCTGTTTACTTGTTGACTCGTTGTGTGAACATGTGTTGAATGCAACTAATGATTGTAAGTTCTATGTGGTGTCATTTTGTGTTTTATATTTTATGGCAAGCAGTACACAGTTGGCTACATAAATCTTCTGTTCTTTATGCAGTTCCAACTCCTTGTTCAACTCCTTGTTGGACTACTGTAGTCACATGTATTATGCTTTTGACATATTTTTATTTTCTGTGTAAAATACAATTGAGAGTATTCCATACCGTTCATCTAGTACATTACAATTACCAAGTACATTTAAGCATGCTCATTATGGTATTACAGCAAGCTCAGATAAATGGTGTAAATTCACTATTTGATAAGCCTCCATACAGCTCAAGAGGACGGCCTCCAAGTTCCCAGAATCTCCCAGTTGAAATGGATGATGGGATGGCACCTTATTCACCGACACCTCCCCTTTCACAATCCAGGTGAGTAGGCTACTATATACAATTAATTAACATACCCACGGAGACCCATATAGTTCATCTTACTCCATCAACCAACCTTTCCCGAGATACATTTTTTGGCATCATTGTGTGACATCATTGTCAAACACTATTAACTGGCTATGCATTACGCGGTCAATAGTTAAAATAATTGAGCACTCCTTAACCAATCAGAAGTGGCGATTTCAACTGGAGTTATGGCAATTCATATTGCATTCTTGACAGATCATTTCCAATTTAAAGTACATTGTATTTTGGAATTTCTGCTAAATGTGATATTGCTAAATAAAACTGCTAAATAACTGCTAAATATGATGATATCATCATGGTGAATCCTACATAAAAGTGCAGTATTCATTAAACCAAACAATATTTTAAAAGGTTGTGATGTTTAATCTATACATATAATAAATTTTCTTATGCATTTTCATTAGATTGAGTCAGAGAAGCTCTTCTAGACAGAGTTCCAGTGACCTAGAAAGACCAGGCTCAGGCAGGAAGCAGCCCACAGGGCCTACCAGGCCTGCCAGTACAGGGTACGATCATTTAAGTTGATTCCTTTTTCCCAGTTGGCTTTAATTGTTTTGGCCCTTGGTTAAATACTGGTATGTACAGTATATTTCTGATATTTTTTGGTGTCAAGCAAAACAGGATCTCCACATTGGTGTAATAATAAAAGGGATAAAGGAGTAAATATTTATGATTTATCTGTTACGTGCAATTGAATAAGTAAATATTTTAACTGGTGTGTAGTATTGATATTTGATGTCCAACAGAACACTCCACAATGAATCATCAAGTGGTATTTAATGTGGACCTACTTGTATGTAACTTTTGATAATTCCACACTCAGCCTTACCTTTAAGCTGTATATCTGTTATATTCAGGAGTGCTGGTGATAGGAAAACTTTGGAAGAGTTAGAAAATCTACGGCTCCAATATGCGGAGGTGAATTCTCTCTTCCAAGCCACCCAAGTGGAGAGAGACAAATTAAGAGAACTGCTTCAAATTCAACAGAAAAGGTATAAACTTGGCCTGGCATCAATTTTTCTGCCCTTCACTAAATTAAATATTTGTACTCAGTTAGAAAGAGAATGGAGATGGGTAACACAGTTGCTTGACGAATGCAAAATGAGAGTAGCGTGAACTGCAATTACATTAACTACATTCTCCTTTTTGAAAACCTTTGTCTAGTGTCAGTTTATTTAAAATGACCACCAATGTTCTTCTTGACCAATGTCCATTATTACTTAAAGTCTTTTATGATCAATGTCATTGGTGTCCCTTATTGGTAAACGGATCTAAAGTTCCTAAACATGAAGGCCGAGACTTTATATAATTTTCATCTTCACTTTATTTTCTAATTTCCAATTGTACAAAGTACTACATAATTTCATCTCTTCTGATCTTGAACATTCCTCCACTTTCCAAACCCATTTTACTTTTCTATCTAGCCCTCATCTGGCTTTCTAGCCTGCTCTTATCCCTGCTCTTATCTTTCTTAAAAACCCACAGTACTTCATGTGGCCCCTGTCTCATTTGTACACATTTTATACCCAGACATTTAGTCTACTACACTGATATTGACTTTCAAACTGCGCTTTGCCTTTAAGGTAATATATTCTGTTTCTCAAGACGTTTTGCCTCACCATTTACAGCCGAGTTCCACAAGAGGTACTTTCCCACTTCTGTAGAAGGTCTCCCAAAATAGATTACACACACACTGCTAAGAATTACATTGCATAAATCAACCTCCTTTGGAATGCAATGTGGAAGAGATTCTATGAGAAGAATGTTTACATAATGTCTGGAACGAGCCCGACATATCCCATCATACTTCTTAAGAAACACTCTTAGTTACATGGGTACAATTACATTCAAGACAAGGAACAAGTACCTTGTGTGGAAGCAAACTTACTTTTCCTTATGATATGAACGATTATGCCAGAATGCGACATGTGTATGCCAAAATTAGACACGCTTATGCCAAATGATAATTGGAAGTCGCTCAAGCTCTCTTTTCCTTAAAGTATACTAACATACCATATTCACTATACTGAGCCAATTTGAAACCGAACAACATTGCCGTATTCATTACTAAACCTGCCCTTAATATTTCATCAATGTATTTTAACCAATGTTATATTACTCACACCAGCTCTTCAATATCAGGCTAGAATTTATTGTCAAGGATGTAAAACATATTAATCTAGTCAAACCTTATTCCATGATTTGTTTGTTGTATGTTTTAACATGTACTTGTAATGTATGATTTTGAATTGAGAATACGTTTATCTTCTTACACTCAACCTTCATTGCCATAGATACCATTTCCACTAATGTTCTACTAAAATTGTTTCAAGTTTAGAATATTTTGGGCTCGTATCATTCCTTATCAGTGTCAATTTTTGAAAAAGTCCCACACTGCATATATAATATAATAAGTTATATATTTTTCTATGAATTATTTTGGAGAACTTGCACACATTGATATCAAATTCTTACTCTGCCTTGACCTCAATGCGCTAATCAGAGTCTGTTGCTCAAAGAAGGTATCTCTCTGTATCAACTCAACAGAAACACTTTTCTATTAATTATTTTTAATAATTGCATTTAATCTAGTTATATTATGTAAATGCTGTTTGTAAAATAAGATTAATTGAATTCTATATTATTTATATTTTGTTGTTCAGGGTGGATGAGGCTACAGAGAAATACAGTTCCTCTCAGTCTGACCTTGTTGAACAGAGGAGGCGGAATGTACAATTAGAAAAATTACTTGGGAAATCTAAATTAGAACAGGAAAAACAAGCAAAATCAGGTACCCATACTCAGTTCAGTCATATTGACCAATGGCAATTATGGTGAATGTAGAAACTGTAGAAAGCAACTAGAAATCGATATAGTTAAAATTATTTTTAAACATTTATCATGGGAGTAACCTCAAACAAATTTGATTACCTTCCAGAGTTTAGTGTAATTCAACCATGACTGAGGACAAAATTCACTGGTGGATTTTATCTGAGATATAGTGAATGAATTTAAACTGCTGTATACAGCTACTAACTTTACAACATGTTTGAAATTGTCTGAGACACCCTGCAAATTCTATAATTATACAGAATGTTTCAAATTGTCTGAGACACCCTGTATAAGCTATTACTCTACAGTCAAAAACTATGTGTTCTAGGAGGTAAAAAAGGGAAGAACAAGTCTGCAACGAGTCTCCGTGAATCGTTGATGGATGATCCTGACTTACCTTCTAACGATACCCAACTTGAAGAGTTGCAAGTCAGGTTGGTGAAAATGCTTTTATTGCACTTAGGGAGCACATCAAAAGATCGATATAGCACAAAGAGCTATATATTATCAGTTAGGACCAAGACATCCCCCCTCCCCCTGTTAACAATATATGGAAAATATGCTATTATGGCACTCATGTAGGAAGGTGGCAGAAGAAATGTTGTTTTCAAGATAACAAGAAAATTGTTCATCTGTTTAAAGAGCAAGTGCCAAGATCTGATTAGAAACCAAGAAAATGATTGTTCTATTTGAAGATTCAGGAAAAACTGTCTAATATGGATTAGGAGGTGCTCACATTTTGAGGTTTTTTCATTTAGAAAAATTAGAAAATCTGATTCAAATAAATTTATTAGTCATATTAGAAAGACACATTATGAATGAGATCATTAAATGTTTTTTTCCAAATGTTTGATTATCATAATAAAACAGGGATTAATGGGAAATATTTGAGCAATTTTGAATGAAACATGATATTTTATGGAAAGTCTTCATATAAGACTAGGTGGATTTTTCAAATGTGACTATTCACTGTTCAAATTGGGAGGTGTTCACATTCCAAGGTTTCTCTAACATGGGAGTCAATGGGAGAAACAATGGGACTGAAAAAGTGTTGAGATTGGGAGGTGTTCGGATTAGCCAGGTGTTCTGATTAGAAGTTTTGCTGTCGTTAAATGTGTGATTGAAAGTTTTCTTTTGATCACCCAAAAATAATCAAAACTAACTTTGTGTGCTTTTAGCCTAGATATCCAGAAAGATGAAAATGATGCATTGAAGGAAGCATTGCAAAGTACTCTACGTGCAAAAGAAGAGGATCTCAAACTGTACCATGATATGATGGAAGAAACAAAGCATGTATTTCTCACTGGACTTCGACAATATCGCCAAAATCAAACTTGACACAGGATGATTGACTGTGTCATGGATAGTTGAAAGTGTATACTTGTATTATTCTTTTGGAGGATTATCAGGGTCTCGTGCAAATATCATCTGCACTACTGAAATAAAATGGATGCCAGTCAAAATTATTAAAAATATGCTCAGGTAAAATGTAGGTAAAATCACTGAGATTCTATGTTTGACATGGAACACTGACAAAAAGGCATCAAATTCAAATGCCCTGTTGTTTAAAATAACATAGAATAATTTAACATTTTTACCAAAAGTTACCTGAGCATATCTTTGATATACAGCTCTGCAAATATTCCAAACCATATGATCTCTACTGAAACATCCTCCATTTTCCCCAGGGTCATCATGTTTGAACAAAGGAGGAACTAAGGAGGAAAAATTGATACCGTCCAATTATTCTTTTTGTTATTGATTTATTTACATTCAATACTGTATCTAATAGTATATCTATTTTTTCATTAAAATATTATAACTTATTGAATGCCTTAGATCATCTAACATGTAGATATATTAGTGATTATTAGTAAAAGGGTAGAGAATTTAAGACATTGAAATATATACAGAGTGTCAGAAACATATATTTTATCCCAAGCCAAGTAGAGTTTTAGGGAGATAAGTTGGTAAGATATATCCCGTATTCTGATTTTGAGGTTTCCATATCCAGAACCTCCATATCTCCCGCCATATCTCCCGCTTCGGTGCATATCTTCCCGCTTAGGTGCATATCTTCCCGCTTCCGGTAAGTAGTGGAAATGCAATAAAATGACTTTGCATATAATGATTTGTTTATTTTTACACCTTGTACAATTAAAATGGCCACATGCCCCTCAAAACTCTACTTGGTATAGGATAAAGCAGTTATGTACGGTCGGTTTGGATATTGAGTTCATCCCTCGTGAGATATGCATATCTCCCTCTAGATAAACCCCATATCCAAAACCTCCCAGTACATAACCCTTATGTATCTATTTATTCATTAATGAGAACAATGTGATACTTATTCAATAATATATGGTATGTTCCATATGTATTTGCTAAGTTGATGATATATTTAAACTGGTGTTAATTAAAGGAGATACAAATATTAAATACATATTAAATGTAATGTGAACTGTTCCTGTATTTCAGTTTGTGTATTTATTTGCCTGATATTGCAATAAATATGATAAAGAATGCAAATTGTAAATAAATGTTATGTTATGTCACTCATACTGCTTGTTAGCAAAGCTATTATCCAACACATACTAGAATAGTAATCCATTTTTAATGAAGAATGGCTCTTACCTGAAATATAAGAAACAATAACCTAATACATAAATAAAATCCATAACTTTACTTAATGTGACCCTTTGACAAAATCTTCAACATATCACTCTTTTGTCAAACAATGATTATGATATCAAAATGTTAAATTCTCACCTTTCAAAAATCCCCAGGGATTTCGTAATTTGAGACATCTCCTATAGGAGAATTTGGGAGATGCACTGTGTATTTATAAGAGAGAATAAAGTATATGTTTTAATGGCCATATACTACTTTTTAATATTCCAAAAGAAATCATTTGCACCTCCCCATTGATCACTCAGGCTCCTCCCCATTGTCAAGAGTTATTTTTAATATTTTTAGAAAATTCAAATAAAGGAAGATGAACTTGTTTGAAGTAACAAACATTTGAATGTTAATACAAATGTCATAATATAGACTTTTATAAGAAAAAACACATTATTGGGTATATGAAATCATATAATCCCGGTGATTTTCTTGTAGATTGCTAATATGCTTTTCGATCAGTGTAATTGAACCGGCGAAAATCGTTTATTCCATGCTCCTAAAAAGCAATATGGCGGACGAACAGAAGAAAATAGATTTGGGTTTACTCGAAGAAGATGATGAATTCGAAGAGTTTCCAGCAGAGGGTATGTCTTAGCTAGTAGACTTTATGAATTAAGCTTTTAATGGTTATGTTTATCAACATTCCGAGTACATTTGTCAATTTTTGAACAAGTAAAATAGATCTGCAATTCCCCCATTTTTTCAATGAACATGAACATGTGAAAAAGAATCGTTGTTTTCTGAAAACCTGCTGAATCATAGAAGTAGAACACCTTTCCATCGACTTAATATGTCAAATAGCAGATACACAATATGACCTAGAATGATTTTTTCTGAGGTTTTATTAAGGACAGGGTGCATGTTGGGAAATTTTCTGCATTCCTCAATTGAGTCACATGTTATTTTTCAAACAAGAATAACTTTACTCACTTCGAGAGCCATGTTAGATTTTGAAACTTATGGCTCTCAAACGGAGAAGTGAACAGCTGATCAATAGTGACCTTTGAAATTGAATTAAGTCGATCCGCGGCTTACTTTTGGTCTCTAACTGTGTCTTACATCAGTATCATCAATCCGTGTAAGTATTGGAGCGCTGGAGTACTTCTTTTTCGATCAAGACTTGTAAATTGTTCATCGAGTTAAAGTTTTACAGACCTATTTCCAATATGGCGGTTTGCTAGGTGCGAGATACGCAACGAACGAAATGAATTTTGAGAATTAGTTAGGTTCGGACAACCTCCGGAGATTTACGAAAATGTCCGAGCAGAAACCGCCATATTGGAATTTGGCAGTAAAACGATTCACTCGACTAACAATTACAAGTCTTGATCGAAAAAGAAGTACTCCAGCGCTCCAATACTTACACGGATTGATGATACTGATGTAAGACACAGTTAGAGACCAAAAGTAAGCCGCGGATCGACTTAATTCGATTTCAAAGGTCACGATCATTGAGCTGTCCAAATGCTCCGTGGGAAAGCTATTATATCAAAATCCAAATAGCTTTCGCAGGAAGTAAGAATAACTCCTTCCCCAAATTGTCTACATCTTCCAAGTTTGCACAAAGAGTGCACTTATGTGCCTAGAAAAGCCTTGTGAGAAGGTTTGTTTTGTAAAATGTATAAAAATGAGAAATTCAGTGAAAAAAATTTCTGAAAATTTTCTGATTTTTTTCACTGAATTTTCTCGTTTTTTATACACTTTATCAAAACATCCTTCTCACAAGTCTTTTCTAGGCACATAAGTGCACTCTTTGTGCAAAACTGGAAGATATAGACAATGTGGGGAAGGAGTGATTCTTGCTTGAAAAATAACATGTGACTCAATTGAGGAATGCAGAAGATTTCCCATCATGCACCCTGACCTTAAGGAAAATAAAATATTGAAAGTGACATCAGTGTAGGGAAGTGATCAATGTAATTGTAGTTCACACCTTCTATCGCTAACTTAGAATTTACAGCCAGTTACTAATGTCAGACGTTGACAACATTTCGTCCAGTTTTCGAATATCGCCATTTTTCTTGGAGCCGTTTGTTTTAATTTTAGACAAAATCGTGATGCAGGGCTCTTGCCAGGCTTTTAGACTGTGGAGCAGCACCACACTCTATTTAGCTCCCTCCACACTCTATTGGCAAATCATGACTGTTCCCACAGTTTAAACTTGACTGAATATACAATAATAGCATGTAAAAAGGATAAAATATAACATAAATATGATTTATCACGATTGAACGGTTATTCTGAAGATGTTAGCACCGCACCCTAAATATTTCCTGGTGAGAGCCCTAGTCTATATCCAATAGACTGAATTTCCTGAGAATTCAGTCTATTGATCATTATGTCCCTCCTGTGGAAAAAAACAGGAAATTTCAGGCACACAATTATCAATTCTAGGAAACTTCCCTTCCCCAAAATAAGCATTATAACAATTCAATTAAGTAGTAAGGTACAATTAAATGCTATGAAAAGTAACACAGCATATTGTCAAATGGAGATAAAGCTAGGGGAAGTAACAAGTATGCAAATTAATTTACCCAGTCGGCCATTTTGAATGGCACTTCCTATGTAAACAAATGTTTTTCAATCACAAGTTTTAACATATGTGGGCTATAGTCTGAATATTTTCATTCCAAATTTCAAAAAAATTCCAGACTAGAGGATATAGTCTAGTGAGAGCCCTGTGACGGTATCATGCAATATCTCAACAATGACCGCAGCCAGTTCCATTTCAATTCATGAAATATTACATGATGGTTTTTAAGAATTTTACTTAAATTTATTGAACCCGACTATAAATTTTACAATATTTCACGGTGTTCTCTCAATGGCAAAAAATATGCGGCTTTCTCAAATTACAGAAGTAATAACTTGTGTTTCACTCACATCCATTTTCTTGTGTATCACTCACTTTGATTCTCTTGTGTTTCACTCACATCAATTCTCTTTTGTGTTTCATTTACATCGATTCTCTTGTGTATCACTCACATCAATTCTCTTGTGTTTCACTCACATCAATTCTCGAAATCGTTGTTCCCTCTTCAAAAGAGGAGACTCGAAAATCTTTCCTTATAAGGTCAAAATATTTCCCATGATGCAGTTCGTGGAGGAACAAATTTATACTTCCTTGTTTTCCCTCATAGGTTTAACATGGGGATTTTCACACCTATTTTTCAAACGATATATTCGTTCATATTCCAGTACGAGAGTACAGAAAAAATTATAAGAAACTATTGATCTCTTATTAATCTTAATATAACAGCTATTTTTTCATTGCATTGATTAATAGCGTGGTGAAAACGATGATTGAAAAGTGAGAAAATATTCCGGAAGAGAAGGTCACGTGATCAGTTGACTAGTCGCCATATTGGAAAAAACAATTCCATTCGACTTTCAATACGTTCATGCCAATCTTACCGCACTACAAACTGCAACACCGATGCAACAAATGAATTAAAGTATTCATCTTCAAATTACATTATAGAGTTATGTTGAAAACCAACAACAACTGAGCAGTAGACCAAAGAAGACGCGTCATTATTATCTAGGTCAATCTGTTCAGTGGTCCGAAAGCAAATCTATAGTACTCGTTTCCGAATTTTTTGTTCATTGTACAATCTTTTATTGATTAAACTCGGTATTCTGACTAATAAAGCAATGACAAAGAAGAATACTTTCGATGGTGTCATTGTTTTATTAAGCGTGCGGGTGTAAAAACTAAATTGCGTAATTAGTTTGATTTAGAACTTTCGGGTCACGAAAATAGCTACGCGAAATGCATAGTGGGAAAATATTGACCAATCAAATTTTGTCCTTTTTGAGTGCTTTTTCAGTACATATTTGCGAACATTCTGATTCAAAGAGCGAACCGCGAAAGGGAGAATTCTCTTGTGTATCACTCACATCGATTCTCTTGTGTATCACTCACATCAATTCTCCTGTGTATCACTCACGTCAATTATCTTGTGTTTCACTCACGTCAATGCTCTTGTGTATCACTCACATCAATTCTCCTGTGTTTCACTCACAGTCACATCAATTCTCTTATGTATCACTCACATCAATTCTCCTGTGTTTCACTCACATCTATTTTCTTATGTATCACTCACATCAATTCTCCTGTGTTTCACTCACATCAATTCTCTTGTGTATCACTCACATCAATTATCTTGTGTTTCACTCACATCAATTCTCTTGTGTATCACTCACATCAATTCTCTTATGTATCACTCACATCAATTCTCCTGTGTTTCACTCACATCAATTCTCTTATGTGTCACTCACATCAATACTCCTGTGTTTCACTCACATCAATTCTCTTATGTATCACTCACATCAATTCTCCTGTGTTTCACTCACATCAATTCTCTTGTGTTCACTCACATCGATTCTCTTGTGTATCACTCACATCAATTCTCTAGTGTATCACTCACATGGATTCTCTTGTGTATCACTCACATCGATTCTCTTGTGTATCACTCACATCGATTCTCTTGTGTATCACTCACATCAATTCTCTTGTGTTTCACTCTCATCAATTCTCCTGTGTTTCACTCACATCAATTCTCTTATGTATCACTCACGCCTGTGTTTCACTCACATCAATTCTCTTATGTATTACTCACATTGATTCTCCTGTGTTTCACTCACATCGATTCTTATGTATCACTCACATCAATTCTGTTGTGTTTCACTCACATCGATCTCTTTTGTATCACTCACATCAATTCTCTAGTATATCACTCACATCGATTCTCTTGTGTATCACTCACATCAATTCTCTTGTGTATCACTCACATCAATTCTCTTGTGTATCACTCACATCAATTCTCTTGTGTTTCACTCGCATCAATTCTCCTGTGTTTCACTAACATAAATTCTCTTATGTATCACTCACATCAATTTGCCTGTGTTTCACTCACATCAATTCTCTTATGTATTACTCACATTGATTATCCTGTGTTTCACTCACATCGATTCTTATGTATCACTCACATCAATTCTCTTGTGTTTCACTCACATCGATCTCTTGTGTATCACTCACATCGATTCTCTTGTGTATCACTCACATCAATTCTCTTATGTTTCACTCACATCGATTCTAATGTGTTTCACTCACATCAGGTCTCTTATGTATCATTCACATCAATTCTCTTATGTATCACTCACATCAATTCTCCTGTGTTTCACTCACATCAATTCTCTTATGTATCACTCACATCAATTCTCCTGTGTTTCACTCACATCATGATCTATTCTCTTATGTATCACTCACATCAATTCTCCTGTGTTTCACTCACATCAATTCTCTTATGTATCACTCACATCAATTCTCCTGTGTTTCACTCACATCATATTCTATTCTCTTATGTATCACTCACATTAATTCTCTTATGTTTCACTCACATCAATTCTCTTGTGTTTCACTCACATCAATTATCTTGTGTATCACTCACATTGATTCTCTTGTATTTCCCTTTCAACAACTCTCTTATATTTTTGCTTTCATTGATTCTGTTATGTTTCAGACTGGCCTGGAGCTGATGAGGATAAGAGTGATGTGAATGTGTGGGAAGACAACTGGGATGACGACAATGTGGAAGATGATTTCTCAAAGCAGTTGAGGTGAGTTCATTTCATAACTAACACCATCAGACCATACCTTTTTTTAATATTCCCCCAGTTTTCACATTTTGTGCCTTACCAGTTTTAATTAAGTGCAATCATCACCATTCAACTTTTGTGGCGGCAACGCATCATCTGATATTTAAGTTTGTTTTTGACAAATATCATTATGATATTCCTTAAAATCATAGGATATCCTATAAATATCCTATGGTTTTGAAATACATGTACATGTAATATCATTTATATCCATGAGTTGATATTGATATTTTAGGGGATATAATTGATATTTTTGAAAACCATAGGATTGTCCGTTTATCACATGGGAAATCGAAAAAAAAATATTGAAAAAATGTTGAAAAAGAAATTTGATTGAAAATCAAAACCATCGAAAATCACTTTAAGAAGTTTAATATTCGATGGTTTGGGGAATTTTGCTAAAATATAATATCTTGATTCACATATCAAATATATCTTCATCTTAAATTCGATCTATTTGGGATAAATATATAAATGGATTGGGGCAAACCATGCTGCCATATTTATACCGGGCATTTACTGTAGATTGGGTTAATTTGGCGCCCGCTTTAATTTGGCGAATTTGGCGAAATTGAAAAATTCGCCAATATAAATCTTCGCCAAATTTTAGAATGAATTCCCGGGAATTATTCAGGGTATTTCGTCCAGTGTATTTAAGTCACTTCCGGTTTAGTTTTTTCCAAAAATATGAAAAAATGTCTCTCATAAATTGGCTCAGAACTGGTCAGTCACTCATTAATACTCAGAAAAACTATAAAGGAAAAGCGTGGTATAGTAGAAACATCGATCGAGGTGCAAAATGTAAAAGATGATCTCACAAAAATGTACAAACGTGGTGAATATCGCCAGTGGTCCTCAAAAGAAAAAATGAACATAGCCAAACATGCCCATTTACATGATGGTAATTCGCAAACAGCGCGTAAGTTCATTAACATTTTTTTTTGCATATCCGCCAAATTAAATAGCCGCCAATATGCCAAAAATGACAAAATCGCCAAATTAAGTAGCGCCAAATTAACCCAATCTACAGTATTTACTGCCCTAAATAAATGAATTAAAATTATTTTTCAGGACTGAACTAGAAAAACAGAAACAAAAAGCAGAACCAATGAAGACCTAGCAAGAATGTTGGCAGGATATTATAGCACAAACAACATATGTACATAAATAACTGGAACAATATGGACCAGATGTTATATATTGTATTATTGACAAGACAGTGTGAAGGGAAAATGGCTTTCATTGTGTAAAGATAATTTAACGTTCCTGTTCAACACAATCTACATTTAAATGATGAACAGAACACTATCACAAACACTGTCAACATTGTTTGAACCAAAAGACAGTATGTCAGTTAAGAATGGACAATTAAAACATTTATTGAGTTAATGAGTTTATTTCTCAAAATAAATAGATATAAAGATTTCAATTAATATTGTAATGCTATAGCCCTATTAGGTGTAAAATCTGTAAAAAATATCTGAAATATAAACTTGAGCATTTTCTAAATATCAATGTAAGAGTTTTTGAGTAAGGAATGTCTGAGTAGATTATGTTATTTTACTGAAATGTTACTTTCAAGGTATTATTGATTTTTCATTCTAATATATGCTTGTTTGAAGGCATCAAATCCAGCCAAGACACCAGCACCAGCTACACCTCTCAATATGTTGGCACCTGCAAGTAGACAAAACATCAATTTTAAAGTGTGTTTTTACATCAATTCTTTTTTATCAAATTTCTTTTAATTTACAAAACACATTTTTTTAAATGGTATCATGAAACTCTAAAAGGATAGGATGAAAATTGATCCCGTAAATCTAATGTTTTCTGACCCTAATGTACCTTATGGTGAAACTGATAACTTATGACTACTGGCACCTAGGTCAACAATGCTTTGACTATAAAATTTTTACTGATCTGAAAAGCACTAGTTAGAGATTTAGGTGTGTGCGGAAAAACATGCACAAATGCTGATCTCCCAAACTATAAGGCTAATTACCTGCTCCTTTCATGAGGGACATGAAACCCTCACTTTGGATAACAGTTTTGGCACAATCTATGGATCCCTTGTACTTGACTGCCTCTCCAGATGTCATCATCATACGTCTACGTATTGTGTCAATAGGGTAGGAGATAATACCAGATGTAATAGTCACAAAGTAACCCAAGACAAATGACATAAACACATTAGCATCGTCTCCGAGCATAATTGGTTTCAGGGTGTCATAGAAACCAAAATAGCAACCGCGGTACACAACAATTCCAACGCAAGAAATGACAAAACCTCTGTAGAGTCCAACGATGCCATCAGACTTCAGTGTCTTCTTGTATACATCAATGAGACCATTGAATTGACGTTGACCACCACTTTTAGCACATCCCTTGGAGTCATTTGCCAACCTAAAATTTAAAGGAGTAAATAAGGAAGCAAGCGGGACATTTGAAATTACAATTCTAAAAACAGGCCTGTCAGCTTGGGAACACCTAACATGAGTGACTTGGAAATGTTGAACACCTCCCCTCAAAATGGGGACACCTTGGTCCAAATCTGAACACCTTGATCCAAATTTTGAACACCTTGGTTTAAATTTTATATAGCATCTTGCCAAATTTTGAACACCTCAAATTTTTCGCGGAAATATTTTTGTTTGACAATTACCAGGTAAAATGCGTATTTGCGTGACATTTTCTGTCACGCAAAAAAAAACTGGCGTGACTTCAGCAAATGCGTGACAAATACGCAAATTGCGGGACAGTTGACAGGCCTGTAAAAATCAAACAGCTTTGGTGATTACTGTAAACTGTTTTATTCTGGTACCCCTTTAATTTGGAAATCCAAGGTCATCAAGATCATTCATCATAAAAATAAGTCTGAGAGTTTGCCATCTTCATTCCATGAATTCATATTTGAAATTATAATTAATCATAATTACCTTGTTCTAGCATAGTCCAGGGAGTAAACAAAGCACAGAGACATAGCTCCTGCTACACCACCGGATGCAATATTCTTGGAAAACTTTACTGCATGACTGTCCTGATTGCTGGCTTTAAAAGCAGCTTTAATTTGATCCTTGAAGGCAAAGTTCAGGGCTTGTGTAGGAAAATATCTGATAACATTAGCTAAGTTGCCACGCCAAAATGGAAGGATACCTATAAGCATACAAAATGGGTACAAATGTATTTACTAAGTATTTTTACTATTTATCATGGGAATACTGTTAGGTCAGTCCTTATAACACGGAAATAAGATAGCAACAACAAACTCCGACTGCTGTGATTGTCATTAATTTGGTAGACTATTCATTTTTTTTAGTTTCGGAATTTTGATACTCTTGTTTGGCAAAGGAGCAGGGAAAGTATCGCAACAGATTTCAGACAGTCATATGTTAGATTTTGGCTATTTTCTGAGGATTCAAACAGGTGCATATATGTTAGACCAATGCATTACCTCCAAAAAAGCACTCCTAGAGATGATAAAATAATTTCGACTTTGAGATGGGGAAGATGCAAACAACCCACCCAAATGTTTTTTCCTGATTTTCAACTCCTTCCATTTATTTAATTTTTCTTGCATCAGTATGTTGTGTTTTGACACACAGTTAACCCCTTTAAAGGAATAGTGATTCCTCTTAGATAAAGTGGAAAACAATACTTCCCATGTTATTTTCCCATAGGTAAAACTCATGCAATCCATTGCTTTCGGCTAATTTTGGTCATCCATAATGGATATCGTTAAAACCCCCGAAGAAATCACTTATTCCTATAAAGGGGTGTCTGTCTCGTTCAACTACTTCTTACCTTCAGTTTTGAATGTGCGTACTGTGCAGTCAATAACACCATTGTAGGGCTTTGCAAGACGTCCTGATTTGATCATCTCATCTTGATTCTGTACAAGTAGCTTGACACGCTCAATTGGAGCAGCAGCAGTTTTCGAGACACCTGCAGCTATTCCACTGAGACCAAAGTTCTCAATAAAAGACAGTTGTTGTTTGCCCATCTGCAAAATCAAACAAATAATAGCACAATGGTCATTGTACTCAAATGTTGAAGGGATATCGTTCCAGCTTAAGAATGATGTCAAATGCCCACAAATATTATAAAACCAATGTTGGGCAGGGGAACTCAACTTGTGAAATTGGTGAACAGCTGTCATTTATTGGTATGAGTTCTGAATTTTATTGAAAAAGTCAATTCTTACATCTGAATTGTCTGTTGTAGCCTTGCACATTTATTAAGTTTACTGAGCTTATCAGAAGTTCTATTCTGTACGTTACGTTACGTACGCGGCATGTTACACAACACAACACAACACTCGTTTAATTTAGATCAAGCTTTGGCTTGTGGTCGCTACCCTTTATTTGTAAATACTAGTATATGTGTACATGTGACAAGATGTTTACAATTGTTTTGATTGATATCGTTTTTGGAGTTGACTGTTCGGCGACCAAGCCCAGAATGACTTCTCTATTCATAAAACTCACTCACTAAACAAGGCCTAACACACAAAAATCGTTGCTCAACTCGAACAGCATGCTACATCACCAAAACATGATTCATGCCTTTTCTTCACTTCACTGCACATATATAGAAAGTATTTATATTCTTAAATCGCTTCGCTCAAACGAATATAAATTTGCATTATACACAGAGACATATAAAACTGTTTTATGTCTCTGTCCTACATCATGTTTTTTTTGGGGGGGGGGTTATTTAGGGTCAGTTCAATAAATCAACATGCAGAAAGCATTTTTTGTATTGAATTAATGTTGAGTAAATGTTGCCATGTGTAGCAACAATGCAAACAAAAGTAAACAAATCAACACTTGACACAGTTTCAGTTTCACTTTCGTAAGCTTACACATATGTCTGTTCACTGTACATTGTACGACCATCTATCCCATCTATTCAATTATATACTCTGGAACTGGTAATATCTGATGTACTAGACATAATATTCAGGTCATCTTTGTAGTTTTAAGTACTTACTTTGCAAATGTGGTGTAGCAGGACAAACGAAGTCGATTTGAAGGAGAGTTTATCTAGCAGACCACTTGTGACGTAATAAAGTAGGTCACATAAGTACAGAACTACTCGATGAACCTAAATTTCATGATCGAGCAATCAAAAATTATTTTCTAAAGGTAGAGAATTCCTTCACGAATCATAATTGTTCAAACACGGAAGTTCTACTACCAAACATATTAAAGATTGTTTGATGGACGTGCAAAGTCCTTGTATATTTGCAACTGGAGAACCAAACGTAAATTTGTGAAAATATTTTACGTTATGCTCCTTCCTGTAGTAAAGGAACGTGGCAGTAAAGATGCAGATCAAAAATAGCATTCAAACTGTTGTTTTATCATTTCTTGTAAGTACATTTGATGTTTATAAGATACCAGGTGATGCACTGACATTTCCAATAACTACCAGCTTCAAATGTAGCTTTCAATATGTCGTTCAAACTATTGTCTTGTGCCATGGCATTATTTTTTTCATTGGAATTTTTTCAGTTTTGATTTGGTCCATTCTTAGCCTACAGAGTGAGGGAGATAAGATCTAAGCTTAGCCTACATCATGTAGGTTTGACTTGTTAGGCCAACCAAATCTCCCAGAAAAAGTTTAAGGTGCATTTCTGTTGGCCAGTTTCTTTGGGTCCAAAGCCATGGGGGCATGCATAAAAATTGAGTCAAATACACGTAATCTTCATGGAACCTTGGAATAAAATCACCTGGAATGGAAACTCCATTGTGTATCTATTGCTCCATTGTTCTATGTCTGTCTCCCATTGTTAAAAATAACAAATCCCCGGTTGCCTTGACGAGTTATTACGTCATATTTCATGAACACCGACGTCACATTCCGTACATCGTTTCCCTGACGATCGTAAGTTTTATAAACAATGCTGTACTCGTTGACCATGTAAGATTTTATTCAGTGTATCTCACGTCTTCTTCGTTCACAGGCCCGTAGCCAGGATTTACTTGGGGGTGGGGGAGCGGTTTTACCAAGGGCATGGGCTTTCAATTAGAATCTAATTGAAAGCCCTTGCCAATGGGGAGCTTTTGCCAAGGGGGGGGGGGTGAGCTTTTCAGTTTTTGGCAAATAATCATACGAAAAGTGCTCAAAATGGTCAAAAACTGCATGATTTTTAAAGAATTTCTGGCCCCCTCCGACCCCCCCCCCCCCCCGGCTACGGGCCTGGTTTACCGTGATTGTTTTTCAAGGTCACGTCGGAGGATCGGACAAAATGAACGGAGAAGTTAGCAGGCGATTTCGGCTAGAAAATATAACGAATCTGGAAGAATTATTTTTTCTAGAGAAAGATTACTAGTGCATTACTCAGTGGCGTAGGAACAATGTACGCCAAGTGTAGTGTTGAAAAGTGAGTTCTTTAGTCATATTTTCTCATTGTTCATAAATTGTGCAAGTAATCTTGAGCACACTAGCCTAAAGAAATGTTTTGTGGATACCATATTATAATTGGTCTGTCTGGCAAATATCATTTACCAGATGGAATTCCCTTACCAACATGCTTTATTTCATGAAAATCGAGCCACTATTGACTGTCTTATGAATTTTAAAAGTAAAATACAATTTCGCCAAATATTCGTGAATCGCGTTCTCTTCACGAATTTGAGAGAGAAACTGTTTTTTTCAAAAACTACTGATGAATACCTTTGAATTTTTTCTGCATGTTCCGTAATGCTTATGCAAACTATGGTATCATTTAATTATAATGATGAACCTCTTTAAATTTAGATGTATATTTTTTATTATCCCCTACCCCGATTTTTCAATTTCACTACATCGATTTAAATATTCCGTTGCTAGGCAAAATCATAGACATAAATTATAGTTAAGTCAACAATTATCTATTTTCTTACTAAATCACTAAATGTTATTGGTAGTACTTCTTGAAATATGAATGTCAAAGACAAAAACATCTTGAAAATGCTGATTATTCAATTACACGTTCCATTGATTTCAGTTCTAGAAAAGCGATTACCTAGTTTTTTTCATTTGAAAAATAATAGATTCTTGTTTTATAACATTTTTGGCACCCCCTAAGTCACATTGACCTCGATTTGACCTTTGTGGTGGGGGTGTTTATTTGTTTAATTGATCAAGAATGCGTTTCTTTATATCAATTGATCAATCTAGTTTCTTTAATCTGTACGTATTGTATTGCACGGTGCACGATGGAATCAAGACAATACTATATATCTAAATTCAATTTAGAAAAAATCTCTCATTGTTATTTGAAAATTGGTCGTCTCAATCGTTCGAGACATTAGCAAAGTGATAATGATTTGTGTGGAGATTTAAAAGATAGGCTTTCCAAGGTGATTTTAAATGATGAAAATCATCGAACATTTTAAAGCACATTAAAAAGGTATCAGGGATTTAAAGCTTGCATATAAAATCGAAACGCCAAAATATACGTATGACCAACCGCCCATACAAATGCATTGCTTAAGTATTTCCGTTCACATTTAGGTTGGGAAAAACATTGCAAGCTTAAAATCTCTGTTACCATAAAATGACGTTTTACGAGCATAAAGTAGGCGTTTTGATTTAGAATATTGATATTGTTTCATATTTTTGGCGGGATTTTTGGCGTAGTGTTGAATTTACACCTTCCTACGCCCCTGCATTACTAATCGAAAAAGCGCACGGTATGGCAAGGTAATATGTTACGTTTTCCTTGAGGATACGCTTCTAAAATATGTGATGTATTATAAGGTGTCGTTACCAACGTGCAAAAGTCAATGTTATTGCTACAAATCAAGAAACAATGCCCACACGACCTGTACCAAATACTTATAAGTGACGGTATCATCACAAAACTAATGCCATCGCTGGCTTTTTAAGAAATGCTAATGAGACTCCGTGGCATTGTTTTTTCCTTTTTGTTTTGAATTTTAACATTAACTAACTACTCAATATGCAACTTTTCACCACGTACAATTTTAAAATATTAAGTTTGAAAATTCCATTTTTTATAATGGAGCTCAATGGGAAAAGGACAATAGTTCTTACCATCAAATCAAATCGATCTATTATAATGCATATTAAACAATATAGCAGTAGATCTTCAAATTCACGAATTGAGTTAAATTGTAAGATAATAAATAAATTGTTAATCCCTTACTGTATAATCCCCTTCTCTGAATCAAACTGAATTATAATATTTCGGTATGCTTATTTGAGCTGCTGTAGTTTAGATCACTTGTTGAGATATTCAGTAACATGCTGTCACTAGAGACAAAACTTGACACTAAATAATCACTCGTGTTACGTTCGAAAATAACAGAAAGTAAAAAAAGCAATTAAAATATAACAATGTACAGTACTATATTTTTGAAAAACTAAATGATATAACAATAATATATAAAATATAATGTAATACTTAAGTTCAATTGGCGATACCCCTAATTGTCTCTCGATGTTGGTAAATATCCTTGATGATCCTTGAGAATGTTCCAGATCACGAAACGTTAGTTCTCCAATGTTTGTTATAATCCAATAATGTTCGTAGTAATCCTATAATGTTCGTATTCAATAATGTTTGATGATAATCCACAAATGGTTGACAATCCACGAATGTTTATTGTAATCCACGAATGTTTATGATAATCCGTACCTGTTGAATGGTTAAAACTGCTTCAAAGTGGTCAATGAAAATGTGAAATGTGTTTTCTGCGCAAATAATGTCCCATTCTATTAAGATCATCCAATATGTTTCAACAATTTCCATGCATCACATTTGTAAAGTTTTGCACAATATCTAATTTAAGGCATGTTTTTGTAATCTTGTAATTTCTTCAAAATTCAAGGCCGCGAATAAATTATGGCATCAAATTTTAGATCTTTCTCCACAAGATGTGGTGATATGGGCTAATAAATGCATGCATGTATGAAGGAAAATATAGCCTTTTGCAAGTTCACTTTTTTGGACCACCCTGTATGTAAGGGTGCCAGTATGTAGTCCAGTGAGTATTTTGGTCAACTCAATACATCTGATAAACACTAAATGAAGTGTTTTCTATGCAATGATTATATACAGGCATCTATTGTTACTGTGAATTTCAAAAGCCTCCAAATAGTGGAATAGAGCATGCAATGTTTTTCAGTTTCAAGCAGGTTTTAGTACATTATGACCTATTGTATTTTCACTTATGATTATGTAATACTGACCTACTTATCTGTTTAGCATATCTTTAAGTAGTTTACAGTAAGTTAAAAACAACAAGGCATTTAACATGACAAAATGTTACCACTTATTTGCTCAAATCAGAAATATAAAGTCGGATTTGAAGTTCTGAGAACTTGTAGATGATTTAAAAAACAGGTGAATTTAAAGCAAGTTGAAAAAGACCTTTTTGAGAAAGTTATTGAAGGTAAAATCTCAAATCTAAAGTCAGATTTAAGGTTCTTAGATGATAATTTATATAAAAATTTGAAGCAAGTTAAAAATACTTTTTGACCTTGTTTTCCTAAAAAGCATATCGATGATTTTTAACAAAATTGGGTCAATTTGAAGTTGAAAAATATCTTTTCGACCTTTTTACCTTGAGAAGGTCATTGCAGATCAAATCTCAAATCTAAAGTCATATTTGAACTTCTAAGAACTTCAGCTTGTAGATGATTTTGAGAAAATTGGTCAATTTGAAGCAAGTTGAAAAAGATTTTGACTTTGTTTTTCTCAGAAGCATCGATTCAAAAATAATTCTAGAAGATCTAACATATTTACACTCCTCTCCATAAGTCCACCTTAGCTCCCCCATTGAGCTACGTGTTAAAGCCTCTTTACGTTTGAATTTTTATTTACTGTACTTAACCGGCGATGAAATAACTTACACTCCCCTCCATTAGTTTGGCAACCTTTTTTCCCCCATTGAACTACGTGTTAAAGCCTCTTTACCTTTGAATTTTTATTTACTCAACCTGCGATGAAAATACTTATACTATTGATGGAAACGTAATTTGACTTTAATTCCAATACCTCCAAATTTTCTCAATTTTTTCCTCAATTACAATAGGTCGAAAATTGATGATAAATTTGATGAATTTTTGAAAATCGACATTCCCATGTTAACCAATGAGAAATGGTAGGTTTGCCGCAAGTCATATGACAGAATATCCATCCATCCGAGTCCTTGCAAAAAAATACGAGTTAGGCAGGCAATTGAATTTGCTAACTTTATTTAACAAAAAATTGATATGTTTCTTCAGGTTCAACAAAGTTATAGGGCTTTAAAGTCAAAATTGTTTTTCAAAAAACCTCTCCCATTGAAATAACACAGGAGGCGAAAAATTATTTTCAAAAATGACTTTGAAGCGCTGTAACTTTAATATTCATCAAAT